CCACATTATAGCACTTTTCCCCAAGGTCCTTCACATCTTCTGTTAAAACTGTGACCAACATGTCGTGATATGCCAGCGCTGCGCATACCCAATTTGATACTACGAAACCTGCCGGGACTGCTCCTTCCACTATTACATGTATGGTTTCTTCCGCTCTTCTAGCTTGCAACTTGTTTAACTCCTCCATGAATTCTTCCTGGTTCTACTTCCAGAACATCATTTGCCAGCCCGAATGGCATTCTCGTGGGCTTCCTTGGTGGCATTATCTCCTCAATCTTTACTGGAGGTGGCCCGAACGGGACTATGGGTACATCCGGACATACCGACATTTTCGAATACTGTGGTAAAACCTTCGGGTATCCCGTTTCAGGCTCTTGCTTCCCTTCCTGGGATATCACCACCTCCGGCACGAGCTCTTCCCAGATCCCTCTTGATGACGATGCTTCCCACTGTCTTGCCTCATCCAACTTCCCTTCTCCCTTGTCCTCCCTCATTTTGTCATGAAGTTCCTGTCCCAATGGAGCTTCGTATGTTCGCGCCGCCTGTCCCATCCCGTCCAATCTCTCCTGTCTGGCTTCCTGTTCTTGCCTTTCCTTTACGGCCTTCTCCTTTTCCCTTTCAGCTTCTTCTTCCAGTAGCCTTTTTGCTGCCTCTTCTGCCAAGCGTCTGGCTTCTTACTCTTTTCGCGCATTGGCTTCCCTGATTGCCTTGAAGCAGGGGGGGCCCTTCTCCAGTGGGCAGCACGTCTTGACTCTTCGCTTAATCCCGGTCGGGGACCCTACCGCTGCTTCCTTCCCGCTGGCTTCCTTTTTTGCCCTTGCCCCTGCGCTTTCCTCCCCGACTCCTGGTGATTCGTTGGTGGGGTTTCTTCTAGGTGCTCTCGTGAGTGCTGTTTCCTCTTCCTCTCTTGCATCCTCTTTTCCTTTGTTTTCCACATTGGCTGGCGAGACTTCTCCTACCAGCGCCTCTTCTGGATCTAGTACCTCTGGAAGCTGCACACCCCTGGCTCTCCCTCCTGCAATACTCATCCTTGCCATTGTCCTTGCTCGTGGCATTTTTCCCCCAGTGTCTTCCTCTCTTTTTTTTTCCCTCTGATTCTAGCGTTCCTCTCTTCCCCTCCCTCTCTTTTTTCCCCTTTTCCCACCCTTCCGTTCCCTCCCCTTCTTCCACTTCCCTCTTTCCTTTTGGAGATTTTTCCCCCTTGCCTTTCCCTTGCCTTTCGCTTACTGCTTTGCCTTTGTCTTCACGCTACCCCTCGTCTTTTACCGAAAACAATGCCCTCCGGATTGACAAGTCCCCTTTAAATAGCACTGACCCTGGCTGCCACATGTCATTCCGCCATTTGCTGCCCGCCCCTCCACGTTTTTCTTCCCCCTTTCCTGTCCACATTGATAGCGCACATGATTGCTTTCTTGGATTCTTCGGCTTCTCCTCAGACATGACCCCGCCACGCGACTCTCCCTTGGATTTCCTACATGGATTTTCTCCCCATGCGTCTCCACTTGTCGCCTTGTCCTTCTTCCCCTCCCTTCCAACAGTGACCTGCTCGGTCTCTTTAATTCCCACTGGCTACGTGGTGATGACGTTGTTACTGTCCTCGTTTTTCTCCCAATTTGCTACGATCTTGACAATTATTCCGCCTTTCCCCCCTATTAACTCCTCCCTTGGATTTCCCGCACCCGCATTCATTCGCCGTCTAGCCGTTGTCTCGGGATTCTGGCCGCTCCCAATTCCTCCCATCTTGGTCTGCTGCGTGTCCACCATCTCCTCCGTCCCTTCTTCTCCTCTCGGTCGCATCCTAGCCGTCCAGAGCAGCGGTTTTTTGCCTTTGAACATCGTGATCTTGCTTCAAGCTTTGCACTTCCTTTCTTGGGCATTTCTCTGGCCAGCGAGCTTGGTCTTCCAACCCATCTAGTCCGACTTTGTGAAATGACTTGAGAGGCGTAGAATAAGTGGGAGCTTCGGCGCAAGTGAAATACCACTACTTTTAATGTTATTTTACTTACTCCGTGAGGTGGAGACGGGGCCTGGCCCCTTCTTCTTGTCCCAAGGCCGGCTCATGCCGGCCAATCTAGGTGGATGACATTGTCAGGTGGGGAGTTTGGCTAGGGCAGCACATCTGTTAAAAAATAACGCAAGTGTCCTAAAATGAGCTTAACGAGAACAGAAATCTCGTGTGGAACAAAAGGGGGTGCACTCTTGTTCATGGGCCCTTTCCCTCTATATTTGAACCCCTATGGATCGTCTCTCAAGTCATTCTCTTTGGTTGCTTACAATCCACCACGCTTCCCTACAAGTCAATCAAAATGTCAGATGTCAATCAACATGTGGTGTGATTCCCCTAGCCAACTAACAGAGTCGGACCCGAGACCGCTCTGATACCAAATGTAAGCTCCTAAGTTTGGACTTCCCAAGAGGTCACCTAACCCAGTACTATTCAAACCCAAGGACGCTTAACCAAGTATCCCAAGACCCTTAACCAATTGGAAAAGGGGGTGCACTCTTGTTCATGGGCCCTTTCCTTTTATATTTGAACCCCATGGAATGACTTGAGGTGAACAGAAGCTGAGAGCCGCAGCTCTCCCGAGAGCCCCGCTCTCTTGAAACCCTACCCCTCGGGTCGAGCCCAGTGAGAGCAAATTGGACTAGCTAGATGTCAATCAACATGTGGTGTGATTCCCCTAGCCAACCAACAGAGTTGGACCCGAGACCGCTCCGATACCAAATGTAAGCTTCTGATTTGGACTTCCCGGGAGGTCACCCAGCCCAGTATTATTCAAACCCAAGGACGCTTAACCCCAAGTATCCCAAGACCCTTAACTTATTGGAAAAGGGGTGCACTCTTGTTCATGGGCCCTTTCCCTCTATATTTGAACCCCATGAACCGTCTCTCAAGTTGTTCTCTTTGGTTGCTTACAATCCACCATGCTTCCCTGCAAATTCACGCCCTCGTGAACGGAAGCTAAGAGCTGCAGCTCTCCCGAGAGCCCCGCTCTCTTGACACCCTACCCCTCGGGTCGAGCCCAGCGGGAGCAAACTAGACCAGCCAGATGTCAATTAACATGTGGTGTGATTCCCCTAGCCAACCAACAGAGTCGGACCTGAGACCGCTCTGATACCAAATATAACCTCTTGAGTTTGGACTTCCCATGAGGTCACTCAGCCCAATACTATTCAAACTCAAGGACGCTTAATCCTAAGTATCCCAAAACCCTTAACTGATTGGAAAAGGGGGTGCACTCTTGTTCATGGGCCCTTTCCCTCTATATTTGAACCCCATGGACTGTCTTTCAAGTCGTTCTCTTTGGTTGCTTACATTCATTTAGTTAGCCATACTAATGTAATTGCCATGCAACTAGGATGGCAATATACTTTGTATATATTACCATTATTATTATTATTATTGCCCTAGAGTTTGAGCTATCATGCAAGCCTCTTCTTTGATTCATGTTGTGTGCCCAAGGATTGTAGGTTCATGTTTATATATACTTGAACACTTGCAATAACTAGTGATAGAAGCTACCTATGAATGGTTGTCTCTTTGAATGATAAGAACAAACATTATTAATGGCTCGGTTAGTAAAGGGCTAACAGTGACAAGGTGGTAGTGGTCAATGGATAGACCTTCACATGAGGACAATGAGGCCATAAAAATGTTATGCTGTCATGAGGTGGAGTTGTGGTTTTTTAGGAGTTGAGGAGGGGTGGTGTGAAAAGAAAACCCTCAGGCAATAGCTTCAACCAGCAAATGCATAAGAAGCAAAGTAGGCATCATTGTTCAAGTGAACTCATAGCACTTGGCCTTTTGTTTCTTGTTCCCAAGCATTAATAATGTTAGGGAGAGTGCTTTTCAATGGAGGTAGTACTAGGAGATCAAGAGGATCTTTAGAATCTGGTATCTTCCTTGTGATTCATTATTTCTTATGTGCATGTGTCTAGATTAAAAAAGACAAAAATGAAACTAACTTAATACAATAAGTAAAGCAAACTTACCATCACTTCAACCACTTCCATGTATTTCTCAGTGTTAGATAACAAGCACTCGTAACTTCTTCCTCCAAGCCAAAACTAACTTTCCTCTTTTGCTATGGAACTCAAGGCACAACTTCCCAAAAACCATCACTATAAGTGCTAACATTTTTTATATATTATCAAGATTAAGAACATTTATCAATAATTAATCAGTCCCCATGAAAGATATTTGCCTTCTTGGACTTTCCAACAAAGTTTACAGTGTTTAAAATAAAACATACAAAGTTAAGGAAAGATTTTACTAGGATATTGAGAGAACCTAAAACTGGGATAAAGAACCAACGAGAGAAACCACTTAAATTCTCCACAACTTATTTTGATTTCTTATTATGTCAATCATATAAAAAATTGATTAAACCTTTGTGAAAAGATATTAATTCTAATATTAATTTATACTTTTTACATTTATTTTACCATAAGCTTCCATGGATTATTTATTCTATATCAGTGGAAAGCCCAGTGAACTCTTCTCTGTTAGCCTCATCCATGTTATTGTTTTTGTAGAAGACATCCCTCATCAAGCCTCTCTAGCTTGGAGACCCTTCTTCACAATCGCTAACACCTGCCCGACTTGCAAAGAAGTGTCATGTTTGGCGCACCAAGAAATTCCAGAAAGGAAGATGAAAAGATATCGGGCCTCCTTGGGCGCCCTGGGTACCAAGCGCTATCCGGTAGGTCACGGTGGGGTTGACCATACCGACTTAGCACTACTGGGTCACTGACGAGGGGGGCCAAGTGGTCAAGGGTCAGCGACCCCATTTACTAAGCAACCCGAGGGATGCAAGCGCCCTTTCAGGCTCTCCCGGATTAACCCTTCTTGCAACTCCATTTCTTTTATACCGCTGTTCCTCTACTGCGCCTTGGCTGGTGGGATAGGTTTTCAGCTTACATGGCACAACACCCGCATCTCCGGGATGTCTAGGATTGTCGGTTGTCAACCTGGCAGTTTGCACCGACATTTCGACAACCTATTCATTTCGATGGATTTTCCACCCAGAAGAATCATCCACAAGCCCGGCTGTGGATGGATTGCTCCAGCTGACTCGCCCCATTGCGTCAACCATGATGCTCGATCCTGGGAGAGATCCCAAAGTCTGCGATCATGGACAAAAATCTCGGCAACACTGCTCGAGCTGGCTCGCTGCTGCTGCTAGAATTGTTGTGAAGATGGTCTCGTCTGGCTTGAAAGCCAGAAAGATGCATCTCTCAAAAGAGATCCAGTGCCTCGCTCACGCGTCCGTTCTGGACATAGGCCGCGATGATCGAGCTCCAGGCCTCCTGCTTCTTTTCAAATCGCTCAAAGGCTGTTCTCAAGGATTGGGCTGTGATGAGAGCCACTGAGTTGCGATCCGGCATTGTCTCGTAGATGTCCCTGGCACTGGCAAGCTGGCCTTCCCGCGCATAAGCTTGCATCATCACAGTGGACGTCACAGCGTTTATCTCTGGCATTTCGACGAAGATTTTCACTGCTTCCCCGGATAATCTGCAGCTGACCAGTGAGGACAAGAGAGTGTTGTAAGACACCAGGTTGGGGCCGGGCATTTTTTCAAAGAAATCTTTGCAGTGGTGGACGTCGGGTGCGTAGCAAGCGAGCATGGTGTTCCAGGAGACCATGTCCAGGCACGCCAAAGCATCAAAAACTGCTCGAGCTTTGTCGATCTTGGAGTGATCAGCGCAACTGGGATCGTCGAGTGTGGTTTCTCGCATGATCTTGTACATGCCCAAACCATACGCTCCAGGTGATTGAGCTTCGCTCTGGCACGACACAATATTGGGAGCAGGCATTGCGTCAAAGGGATCTTTCGCCATGGAGAAATCCCCAGCCTGGGCAAATGCCGAGATTATAGCGTTCTATTCTTGTGCCGACGCTCTGGAACACAGTCATAGCCTTGCCCGTGTTTCCACTGAGAGCGTAGCAAGGAATCATAGGCGTTCACGTCTACTCGTCGTGAGCAGGCGTGATTTGAAAGAGCTCTATGGCTTTTCCGTAATGCCCGGTCTAGGCATATGCGCACATCATGGAGTTCCACGACACCACGTTCCTCATGGGCCTATTCTCGAACATACATTGCGCGAGATCCAAACGCCGTTCTCGGCGTAGGCATTCATCATAGCCGTCCATGTGACCACGTCCTTTAAAGACCCGGCGAGCGTCGTCCAGGTGCCCCCTCTGGGCATACGCCCGGAGGAGGATATTCCGGAGAAGGAATTGGGATCTTTGATGCCAGCGAAGACGGAGAGGGCGTGCTCGAGGCTGCCACAGAGCGCATAGGAGATTGGCGAGGTACCGATGGTCGCGGCATTGCGCGCACATTGGCAATCCTGCGAGGAAAATCTTCTACTTGCTGCTCGTTTGCGCGAGAAGGAAGAGAGGAGGAATGGATCATCCATCCAAAGTCGCCAATTCCCTCCCGGGGATTGTTCTCCAGCGCTGAGATCAAGGTTCTCAGGCAGCGGATCCATGCCCAAATATGAAGAAATGCTCGCGGCTTACAAACACCGCGTGTAGCTCAAGCAAACCAGAGCGTTGATATTTATCTTTGGATAGAAGTTTTGGATCATCTTTTCTCTCTTGTTATGACGTGGTTTCTTCCATCTCCACCGAAGAGATTCTTCTCTGGACGAATTCGTTCTCCACCCTCGACTCTGCCAGGCCGCAGCGGAGCTCCTGGGATCAAACAGAGTCGATCGATAAGCTTTTCGTTTTCCTTCTTCTAAGATAAGAACTTCGTCTCTAGATTCGTAGTCTCTTCATCAAGCTTTCAGTGTCACCAAACTGGCACTCTGATCTCAACAAAATCCTTCCTCGCGTTTTGGATTCCACTCCATTCACTGTCACAAACAGACTCCACGCTCCACTTTGCGTTTGCTCTGCCGTATTGGTAATCAAACCGAGGGATGGACAACTTGGAGCGAAGGGGATACTCAATCGAAACTGAGAACTCGCTGCTGGAGACGCGTAAGTAGTTTTTCTTCTCTTGACTTCCATGAGTTTGTATCGTTGTGAATCCAGGACTCTCCACCATGGCTGGGCCTTGCACTTTGCGCCCGAGCAACCGGCTAGTGGCTCGTCCTCTCGTCTTGCATGGACAGTGAGCTACTTTCGCGACGGAGCGCGCTTGCTGAGCACAAAACACGCAAGGTCTTTGGTTTTTGTTTGCGGTGTTTGTTTTCATCTCAAGATCACGCTCACGCAGGAGGAAAGTCCAGGATGAAGACTTCGGAGGCTGGTTCAAGGACGTAAATTCACAGTGGAAGAAAAACTATGGAAAATTCCTTTCCTTGTCTCGAGTAAATATGGCCAAAGACAAACACTCAACTTGATGCAGCATGGGGACTCTCCATTTACAATGAGAAGCCGTGAGCACATGAAGAAAGTAAATTCCTAGTACCGCCAATCACTTTGACAGAAGTGTGGAACCATACGAAAAATCAATAAACAAAGGATGATCAGAACTTACAAATGATCCATACTGAGTATTTTTTTATGTCTGTAAAAATCCCAGTTGGTCTGGATGTCCAACCGTGGGGACTTAAAGCCGACCCAAGGAAAATCCAGTCAGAAGCATAGGCCACGATACAGCTGCTTACACAAAACAAAATACAACCAACAATGGTGGCTTGCTTTACCAGCGTAACACTTGATCATCCTGAAGCGTACCTTTTGCTCAAAACCATAACACCTACGATGACTGTGGCTGCAATCAAACCAGGAAAAGGGGGCGATCCAGAAACGAAATGAGTTTTGATTCAATAGGTAAGTTAAGAAAAATCACAGTCCAAATTCATTCAGGCCAAATCGTTCAAGCGCTTTGATCTAGTGTTTGTTTTTCTTTATGAATTTCCCGGACTAGGGAAGTCCAATGTTCAAATTCTGGAATAAATGGCATATTATCAAAGAGCTCTTTTGCCTCCTCTAAGTTCCCAGCTCTTGCCAAGAGGTCTATCATGCAACCAAATTCTTGCCTCGTCCAGGCAGTACCATGGTTTGCGCAAATCGACTGGAAGTAGCGTCGACCGGCCATAACATCGCCCGAGTGGCTACAGGCGTTCAAGACACTTATCATCAGCACCTCATTTGAATCTAAGCCATTCACACACATGCTCCAAAAGGTGCCAAGGGCATCTCCAATAGATTCTCCAGATTTGGCTTGGAAAGCTGAATTCTGCACGATGGGACTGTCCTGTTCCAGAGATCTTTCTGAGTTTTTCGTGGCTCTTGATGAGAATCCGGCCTGCCTGAGAGATGTTAGCAAGACTGTCGTGGAGAAAGAATCGTGGTGCTTATGGTGGAAGAGCTTGAGAGCTTCGTGCTGGTGGTTATTATCAGCGAGTGCTACTGCAAGTGTTGTCAATGAAACAAGATCATGCTCAGGCATTCTATAGTTGAAAAACTCCTTTGCAAATGCTAGATCTTTGTTTTGCACAAGTGCTTCCAGCATTACGTTAAGCGAGACAAGGTTACGGCTAAGCATTGTGTTAAATGTGGTCTCAGCTTCCAAAAACTGCCCGTTCCGGGCGTACAGTGCAACGAGAGCTGTTGCCGAGAAGAGGTCATGGTGCGGCAATTTTGCTAAGATAGAGCTTAGAAAACTAGAATCAAAGTCGGTTTTACTAGCAGAAAGCAAGGTAGAAAAAGACATGGGAGTAATTTCAGGAATGTAATAAAGTAGATCATTACAACGATCCATATGCCCGGTTCCGGCGTAAACTGCAAGCATAGCGTTCCACGAGACAGAATCTTTCTCGCACAGTTTTGAGAACAAGTTTTCAGCTTCGTCAACTTTTGAGTTTCTCACATAAACATAAAGCATTGCATTTGATGATATTACATCGTGATACGGCATACCATCGAAAACGTCTTTCGCTACATCAACTCCGCCACTTTGGGCATATGCTGCAAGGAACAATGTTGTCGACGGGATATCATGCTCCGGCATGGACTCATATATTCTTCTGGCTATCGCCCTGGATTCATCTTCCTGGAGGTGGAAAGAAAGGAGGAGCGTCCAAGTGATGATATCATGGAGCTCCATCCAGTCAAAAAACGATTTTGGGACAAAAGAATGCCCGAGAGAGGCAAATTGCTTGACCACAGAGTTACCAGATACAAGATCATACTCTGGAAATCCCTTTAAGAAATCAATCACACTTTGAAAATCTCTGGATTGCGCAATTGCGTCCAGTATTGAGTTCCACGAGAAGAGATTTCTAGCAGGCATCCCGTCAAAGATTAGTGCCGCATTTTCCAGATACCCTGATTGGGCATATGCAGAAACAAATATCGTCCATGAAACCAGACTTTTCTCTCGCATTGAATAAAACATCACGGAAAGAGCCTCCAGATTTTTCTGCCGAGCGTACATCCCTAGCATCAGATTGAAGGAGACGAGATTCCAGCCGGGCATTCGATCAAAGAAATCAATAGCCTCACTAAATTGCCCGTGCCTAGCAAATGCCGTAAGCATCGCGTTCCAGGAGACAATGTTCTTGGCGGGCATCGTATCGAAAACGCTCTTGGCATTGGCCAGGCTCCCATCTTTGGCAAGCGCGCTGATCAACTTGTTGTGCCGGGAGACGATATCATCGAAAGAGTTGTGACACAAGAACTCGAAGTTCCTTACCGCTACTGTCATAGATTAAGGTTGCTAGACTTATCCAAATCCTTGCATCTTCTTTACATATTGTGCCTCTTATCGACGATCGATCGATAAACCTTTAATAAGTTACTATACTTTTATAATACATTACCAAAGATTAGTTTCCCTAACAAAGATTGTATCAAAGAAATGAACAACTTCATTAAATTAGCATCTGCGTTCTATAAGTTGGTGATCGAATACGGGTCTTATCTTTGGCAATCAATTTATTCTTAGTTGTGACACAAGAACTCGAAATTCCTTAATCTGGTCTTCTTGTGATCGTCCCAAGCAAAAAAAATCTTGGTAGAGCACTCAAGGATGGCACTTATTTCAAGTTTCATAGACCATGGAGAGCTCGAGAAGGCGCGACGATGGGATGCGAAAGGTGGACACGGCCGAGCGGCAGGAGCTATGGAGGAAGCGATAGATCTTGTTCACGACCATCCTCTTAAACCAGCTGCGGCTGCCCGTGTGGAGAATGCTGTGACCCACGACGTGAACAGCGCCCCTCCGCCTCGCAACATCCAGCTCCACCATCTCCATCTCAGCCGCGCACTCCATCACGCAATGCGCCGCCGCCGCCTCACCGCTGCTCCTCCCCTCCAGCTCCTTGGACTTCTCCTCGTACTCCGATCGAATGAGGTCCACCAAGCTGGCGATCACTTGATCCACGAACTCCTCTTTCACCATGTCGACGTGATCCAGGTAGCCGTAGCGAGCAACGCAGCGGTAGAGTCCCTTGACGCCACTGCCACGCGCGACGAACAGCCTCTCGCTCTCCAGCACCGTCTTGACGGGCACCACCCGGATGGTGAGGAAGATGACCACCTCGTGCAAGGATCCCACCGCTCGCATGTAGTGTCCCATGAGCGGAGGGAGGCCTCCGCCGTGGATGAGGTTGCTGTAGAAGAGGCAGAGGCCGGGAACTCGTGTGACTTCCAAGCTCGAGCACAAGTTCTTGAAGTCGTGCGAGCTGATCCTGTTCTTGGCCTCGAACTCGTACTTCATGCGCCTGCCGTAGTTCCAGCTGAGGCTCACCACCACGAAGAAGGACGAGATGGCGAAGGGAACCCAGCCTCCCTTGGCCAGCTTCTCCGCAGTGGATGACAGGTAGATCACCTCGACTGCCCCGAAAACGATCAAGAAGAGGATGATCCACAGCACCGATGTTGTCCACACGACGAGCATGACCACGGCTACGAGTGCGGTCGTGATGAGCATCACCCAGATCACGGCAACTCCTGTGAAGAAAACATATTAGAACTCCGAGGAGAAATGAAAGCTTTGTTACCGTATGCGTTTCCAATCCCATCACTGTCCTGGAAGCCGATCACGACTGCCAAGCAAAGTCCCAGCAGCAGATAGTTCACTTCGGGGGAGTAGATCTGACCCTCTTGGCTGGCTGAAGTATGGACCAGCTTGATCCTCGGAAAGCAGCCGAAAGACACCGACTGCTTGAGAACGGAGAATGTCGCTGTGATAAGCGCCTGGCTAGCAACTATCGCTGCCAGAGTCGCGACTACAAAGACAGGCCAGAACACCGGACTGGGAACTGACTTAAAGAAAGCGTCGATGCGATGTTCTGGGTGTTTGATCAGAAAGGCCGTCTCTCCAGCGTATGTGATGATAAGAGAGGGGTATACGACGGCTATGAAGGCGATCTGTCCAAGGAAAGTGTGTCTAAGCATGAATTCGATATCTCATTCTTGCACCTACTTGAATGGCTTTTATGTTGAAGTGGCCCAAGTCGGCAAACATCGCTTCGGCTCCTAGAGAAGTAGGAAGTTACGCTTGGAAACTAAAGACTCACGTAAGCAAACAACGAACCTGTGATACAGAGGACTATTGAATTGAGCATCTCCCATCCATGCCTCTTGTTTCTGACAAAAAAGCGGATGGCATAGTGCGGAGACAAGGCCTTTAGAACCGTCGGGTAGTAATTCATGATGTTGTAGATGCCTATGACAGTCGTAGAAGCGAACCACGTAGCCATGATCGGCGAGAAGATACAACTCACTCTATGCGTGCCAATGCTTTGCAAGAGAAATAGTGCCGAGATAATCACACAGGAGATGGCGATCACCACCGCTGCATGCACTGTTTAGCGACAAGAAAACAAGAAGACGCTCACATCTATATACTTTGGCTGATTGCGGGGACTTGAGAGCGAAGTCCACCAATAGATGAAAGAACTGCAAAGAAAAAGGAGAGCATCTCACAGTTTCTGGAAAGAAAACTTGTGTACCTGAGATTGCTGGAGTCAAAACACCATCTCCTATGACCATGCAAGTTCCAAAAGTCACGCAAACGAGCAAAATCTTCTGGGCAATCTCGCTCTTCTCCAGGACCATCTTTGCTCTCGTGTGCACCCTGACACGCTCGGCATCTCCGAAATACGAGAACTCGGAGTCCGACTCCAGCCTTCCATAGTGTTTTCCAGCATGCCGTCCAACGTTTGCGTGGCGGCACAGCAAAGAATAGAGCGCAAAAGTTCCACCTAGAACAAAGAGCGTGTGAAGTTCTTACTTTCTAACATCTCGGAAGAAGTGGAGAGCGTACCTTCGCCATGATCATTGGCATGGAGCACGATGAGCACGTACTTGACAACACCGATGAGCGTGAGCGTCCAAAAGATGACGCTCAAAACCCCGAGGTACTCTCGCTCATTTCGCGAATCTATCTGCGCTGTGGGATACACGTAGAGCGGAGACGTCCCCAAGTCGCCATAGACCACACCGAGGGTCTGATAAGCCAGCCATAGTGTCTCCCGGCAGCCAAAAATCTGAGCAAAAAAGAGAAGAAACCACGCGAGAAATCGCCTAACAGAAGAAAGAATCACTCTCCTTACCTCTTGATCCTTGTAGAAGGAGTTAATCCGAGAGCTGAAAGACCTTGAAGTCCTGGAGAGAGACCTCCTGATATCCGCCTTCGAGGAGAGACGCAGCGGCAGCGGGGGCGGCGACGGCTGGCCTGGATCGTCAAGAACTTGCACGCATTCCTCGAAATCCACGGCGCGAGCAGCAGCTCGCGCGCCTTGATCTCGATCGGGCGACGATTGGCAAGGATGGGCATTTCCCTCCATTTCGCGATCGAGATAAAGAATTAGGGTTCTTGGTGGCCCCTTTATTTATTAAAGGAAGGCCCGACAAACGTTAGTAAGCGTTGACTCACGAGTTTAAAGTGCTTGTCTCATACCACTGAAAACTCGCTTTTTCCATTTGACAAGTATCATAGATTACATTTTTTGTCAACTCCTAGTTGACTAAAACTTCGAAGAAATCGTCCATCACGAGGTTACAGAGTTTGAAGAGTATAGGCTCGAAAGGAGGAGCGATCAATCTCTTGATAAATAGATAGATTCTTAGAGCGCTTACACTATGTCCAGTATTTCCTCGTCGCTGGATTTTTGCGTTCCGTTTAGAATCGTGTATTTCGCTGTGCCAATCTCGATTCCGGACTGGTCTTGCCTGTCTTTCTTCTGAATGTGAGCTTCGTACCTGGAAAAAAAAAACGAAAAAATCGAAGATGGAACCGAGCGAGCACAAGAAAGACTTACTTGAACCAGTTGTAGAGAGCTACTCCCACAACAATAACGAAGAAGCCGATCCCTTTGAGCAATGTAAACTCGTCTTGGAAGCAGATGATCGCGGCCTTGAAAGGCAAGATGTGAGCAGTGAATTAGTTTCTAGACGAAATGACGCCGGCTTACCACGACGGTGACGACCTCTTTCACCACGCCTGCGACAGTCATTGTGACAGCACTTGTTTTGATGATTAGGAGATACTCTGCAATCACCTGAATCGAGAGGAGAGTTAGATTTTAAAAAGGACACAAGAGAGGTACCATAAAGAACGCAAGAGTTCCACCAAGTAGCATCAGCATTGTGCTTTCCATGACCCGAGAACGCGAATCAAACCATGACGTTTCAGCGAGCTCGTGCCAGGGTTCTAGAATGAGTGAGAAGATAGCAGTGATCAGTGCCATTATAGGCGTGAATTGGCTCATTGCCGCTAAAGGATTGCTCAGACCGTATTCTTCTTTCTGCAGTTAAAAAAAACAACGAGTTTCAGAAAGTAAAGAACAACAAACAAAAGTTGTGCTCCAGACCTGTAGAAGAAGCTGGGTGACGACCCACCGAAATCCAGAACTTAATGCAGCTAACATGACTAATACAAATCCCGCAAAAATAAAGTGTGTTTCTTGCGCAACTGAAAAAAAGGGGTCAAAACAGAAAAACCAAAACGAGGAGCACAAAACTCACCAGTTAATAGTACACCGCAAGAGATAATAAATATGATCCCAAAAAGCTTGAAGCTGGGAGTCTCTAATCTGCCACAAGAAAACATGAGCACGACAACCATGCAACCGGCAACGCTTACTTAAATATGAAAGCAAACAACAAAAGAAACACCGGCGTCGCGGATTTGCACTGGAAAAAGAATGTTAGCACGTTTGTGAAAAAAAGAAAAAGTAAAATTAAAAAATAAAAAATTCCACTCACCATTGTCGCGAACGTAACCGGGATGAAGACGAGGGACGCATTCGTGAGATCCACATCTAGCGCAGTAGCCACGCCGGTAGGAACCACTGTGAACCAAAAAAAGAAACGAAAAAAAAGGAGTAAACTTTAATGGTTTTGGAATACGAGCGAGCTCACATTACCCCTCACGAAGTAGTCCTTCCATGACATGGAGACGGTCGTCGCCGTCGAAGGAAAGCAACATCGTAGCAAAAGCGACGATACGATGGCTTGCATAGAGAAGTGTATCGTGTTCATGAGCAGCGGAGCTGGGAACTTGCCATATTTTTTTCCCAGCAGCAACTTATTGTACCTGGAATGAAGATCGCAAACCATGAGAAGAAAGTGGTAGCAAGATCTTCCAAAGAACAAGAAAGAAAAAACTATGCAAAGAACACGAAAAAAAAAAAACCCAAGGAGAGGGTGGAAAACTTACAGTGTGAGGCAAGTGCTAAACGTATACCACAGGAGCACGTAAAACAGCGTCTGGAGAACAGTTCTTATCAGCGACGCGGTATCACTGCCATCCCCGGAAGATCGAATTTCGTCCAGGAGCTTCTCAAAGTCGGTCTTCTTGGCAGTGGATTCGCAATCACTGGCAACATCACTCCCCCCAAAATCCCTCTCAAATCCATCCACTTTGAGCGCCACAACATCCGGAGCTCCCGCCTCGTAGTGGCTCGATCTCCTCTGGAAGAGCTCGTGCTGGCTGAAATCGTCTACGCTAGCAAAGGTGAATGCCGCATCCACAGTGGAATCGCAGGCGCTAGATCTACTGGACGACGAATCATCGTCCTCCCCCCTGGCGCCTGCTCCACAGGCGCTAGCAATCCCATTGGAAAAAGAGAGTACCCTGTCCATTCGACAGCCGGCGCCTAGCGGCAGCTCCTCGAAGCCCTGGAGCTTGAGCGATTCGCCCAAAGGATTGTCGATCCCCATCTTCCCCCCGGCCCGATCACGCCCTTTTCTTGGGCGACCTAACCCTCTGTTTTAAGTGCCAATCTAACCTTTTGAAATGATTGAGATTTAGGGTTCTTGGGAAGAGAGAATGTGGGCGGGATCGAATTGCGATGTCGCGCTGTGCCAGGGCGCAAATTTCTTGAGCTCCAAGACACCCCGCAGCAGCGGCAGCGGTAGCGGCGGCTCTGGTGCGGTCTCCAAGAGCGTGCGCCGGCTGATTCTCTTGCGGCACGCTCACAGCTCTTGGGCCAATCGATCGCTCAAAGGTAGGGTAATCGCTCGCCCTCGTCTCGTCTCTGGCTGAAAATCGAGATGGAATTGGCTCGTTCAAGATCACGAGAGGCCTCTCAGCGGCCGTGGGCGGCAGCAAGCAGCCAGCATCGCGGCCAAGCTCCGGGAATTAGGCTGGCTTCCCGAGCTCGTTCTGTGCAGGTATTTCTCTCTTCTTTTCCTTCTAGGCGATTGATTGATTGATCGAAGAGATGATAGAACGATTATATTGATCGACACATCTAAGGAAAAAAATCTTTTTTCTTATCGCAGTGACTCAACGAGGACTCGAGAGACTCTGGAGATTATCAAGAGACACACTGTTGAGTTGCTCCAGGTCGAGACCCATTTTCTAACGACTTACTATTCAGTTGCAGCCATGGACGGCCACACTGCGCAGCATATAAGAGAAACCATTTGCAAATTCGCCAAGGATGACATAGCCACAATCCTGTAAGATCTTCAAACGCTCGTCTCCCAAAGTTTAGTCATCTTGTTTTCCTTTTGGAGAAACTTTCAGGTGTATGGGACATAACAGGGGATGGGAAGAAGCGGCCAGTATCCTCTGTGGCCGACCGCTGGAGCTCAAGACCTCCAATGCGGCTCTCCTCGAAGCACACGGTTGTTCGTGGCAAGAGGTTTGTTTTGTCTAAAGTTTTCTCTCCTTTCGCTCATTCGAGCAAAGCTCTTGTCCAGACTTTTGCTAGCGCCGGCGCTGGCGGATGGAAGCTCAGAGAGATTTTGCAGCCAGCAGCGGTCTCGGAGTCAAGTAAGCTTGACATAGATTTATTGACATGAGAGAAAGATCCCGGAGAGCGAGAGAGAGATAGACGATTGTAAATTCGTCACCGATAGGAAAAAATCGGAGACTACCTACTCATTTGAGCTGTTACCATGAAAATCTAAGCGAAGAACTACAGGTTTTTCTTGACAAAAGAAGAAAGCTGAAAACCAAAGAAGCTCCAGAGTTCTTCCACTGAAAAGAAACGAGCACAAGAGACTTTAGCTTGAAGGAAAGCAAGGATTTGCGAACCTTGTTTGATCTGGAGCTGGAGAGCAGCTAAAACGCGGTCACTTCTTCTTTGCTCCTCCACCTTTGCCGGGAGTGGCGCCTTTGCCTTGATTCGATGCCCCGGCGCTCTTGCGCAGGTTTTTGATCTTGCGAGTGCACGCAAACTCGCCAAACTTGTGACCCACCATGTCCTCGGTGATCTTCACTCCCAGAAACGTCTTACCATTGTGGATCTGGACCATGAAGCCCACGAAGTCCGTCAGGATTGTGGACCTCCGCGAGTAAATCTTTGCTCCGTCCACGATGGCCTTGACTGCCTCGTCCACGAACGGACCCTTCCATTTGGACCTCGGTGACATTCTCTCCTCGTCAAGAACCCTACACAGTGAAGGAGAGAAATTAAACAAAAATCCAAACTTTAGCTCATCAACATACCTTGAGGAATTTTTTTCACCGGGGGACTTCGAATCTCTTCTTGCTTCTCCGCTTGTCTGGAACGAGAGTTTCTCATCGAATGCCAGGATTTTTTTCATATACAGAAGACTGACCTCGGAGAAGCTGGTTGTTGGCTGCCTCGTCTTTCGAGGGTCTCTTCTTGCTGCAAGCTTTCATGAATAGCTTCACGGTTTTCTCGTTCTTGAAGCCCCTGTGATGGAGATGAATGCGAGTCACTCAAACGAAGCGAAAAGATGAAGCTATTACCAGTCTTTTGCTATCTCAGACATGTAGTCCTTTTTCTTCTGCTGCTCCGTCTCAGTAGCATTGCAAGCTGGAGGGTGATCTTGGTGGTTTTCGTGTTGCTGTGGAGGAATAGCAACCTGAAAGAAAAAACGAAAACACAAAGAAATCCATGAGGAACTTTAAATGATTGTTCCACCTGGTCCTCTACGCTGTCCGAGAATGTTGGCGTTGTTTGATGTACTGGAGTAAGTTCTTCCGCGTCGATTGGTGTTGTTCCTGAGCTTTCAAAGTCTAGATCTATCACCATAGCTGCAGGGGCTGCTGCACAAACGGGAGTCTTCGCATTCGCTTCCCAGACCTGTGACTTTTTCTCCTGTTCCTCTTTAGCGGGATACGATACTAAGTTTGCCTCATCCTGAACAGAGGAACAACAAGAATTAAGACTTGATCAGATCCAATGAAAACCATCACCTGATCATAAGTGCGAGTGTCCTCCATGGCAAAGAGAATGCAGTCGATGCATTCGTAATCGATGTCGTCGTCGTCAACGTACTTGATCTTTGCAAGAGCTTTGTTGAACCGGATCCTGACGTCGTAGCCCCTCCACAGCGCCTGTACCTTTGTCGCGGACTCACGCTGTACACTCTTCAAGGTTCTAAGTCCCGGCAAAAGTTGAAGACGTCGAACTCTCGAGCCTCTCCACAGTGCTTGTAGCCGGCATACTGATTCATGTTTTTTGTTCTCCCGGAGCTGACGATACTGCTTTCTGCAGATATGGCCTCTCACAAGCGCTTGGATCTTTGCAGCCTTCACCCAAGGACAAAACACACTTCGTCAGCTGACAGTAAAAAGCAAAGAGAGAACAAGAAGCAATCACAAAAGCAAAACAAAGAAACAACTGAGCTTAGACGTGTCTACGACCGCTGGCGACTTGATCGAATTCAAATCGCGAGGAACGAACTCCTTTACCGGATAGAAGTAAATACCTGTAGTTTGAAGTTGTCTATCCAGATATTACGGCCAGTGACAAGAGAACAGCTCTCCGCTTCTTCCTCCCATTCTTCTTCAGAGTACAAGTCTGTTTCTTCGGGGTCAAGGAGCTGTTCTTCCCAAGATTCCACTTCATCTTCCTCCCATCCTTGTTCCGAGTAAGTCTCAACCTCTTCTGCGTTGTTTACGTGAGTGCCAAGACTTAGAGTTTCCTCTTCTCGATGCTCGACATGAGATGAAGTTATAGCAGTCCGTCCAGTGTCTAGCTCTTGATGCTCGGCTGCGCTATTGCTAGAGCTGTCCAGTGAAATTTCTTGATTTTTGGCTGCATGCGTTAAAGATGATGTTCCAGCTCCATCTTGTGATCTTCGAGATTCTGAGTCTTTAAGCAACTTGTCTCGAGTTTCTGCTTCTTGATACTCGGCTGCCTGCGTACAAGATGGTCTTTCAGCGGCCTCATGCAACCTTTGAGTTCCATTTCCTTGACCACCGCACGGCGTGTCAGTTTCATCTTGAGAACTACCATCAATCTCGGAGCCAACTATATCCTTGTGACTCGGGACAAGTAGAAGCTTCTCTTCAGAACTAGCTTCCTCGTCGACCTGTTCTAAGCAGCAACTCTTTTTCGTCTCAAACGTCTCCCAGCTTTTTCTCACTTGATCGAGTTGGACTTCCTCATTTAGCCTGAGCGAGCCTTCGATCATTTTCGAGTTGCCACCCAAGTTTTCAAGCACACGGCCCCGAAGATCTAGCTTGAAAGCTGCCACTACTTTGCCGTTTATAATGATCGACGTTGCTCCCTGGTTTTCCAGCACGCTTTGTCGAGCATGATGAACCAAGGCTAGCTGCGCTCCAACCTGTTTTGCTTCCTTCCCCAAGCCTTTCCATTTGTGAGTAAGTGGGACGCTGCTTCCAGCCATACTGACGGAAAGCTTAAGAACCTTTCCTATTAGCCGAGAAACTCTCTTCTGCACAATAGCAGCTCTCTGTTCCTTGGTTGCAAGATTCTCGCAGCTCGGGCCAAGCTTTTGTGATAGAAGTTTGCCAACGTCGTAACCGCTGTTTACTTCACATACTAAAACCCGATGCATGTTTTCCACTACTTTCTGTAAGCCGGCAGGAAACTGAGAGACCACCGAGCCAATCCCGAACCTTTCTATGTTTCTTATGCAATCCTGGAAGATGCTGCATAAGTCGTCTCGAGAAGCCCGTGAAAAATAGTCGTCTATGCTCTCAGGCAAGCAAGCAAGCGCAAGATCCTCAGAGATTGTCGGTTCAACTTTTAGTGTTTTCACCTCCTCCCTGGTAAGTTCCATCTTTCTGGATTCCTTAAGCATTTTTTCTTCCCCAAGAGCTGTAGTCTTGCTTTCATCTACCTTTAATGTCTCTTCAGTCTCACAACTGATCATCGCTTCTTCAACGGCTTTCGAAAAACCTTGATAGCCATGTAAAAATTTTCGCCAGACTCTTCCATCCTGCAGGGTGGAGACTAGCGTCAAGAGTTTGTAAACTGAAAAACATACCGGATGGGTAGTATGAACAAGATCAAGTAGATTCTTGTGTTCGGCTTCAGAAAGTTCCTCAATCAACCTGGGACGGTCAATGCATGAGAACCTCGATTGTTAAAAACAACATCTCACTTCAACGCCATTTCTCCTTCTTTTCCAATCTCTTCCAGTTTTTTTCGCTGCTCAATCTCCATTTCTTTCTGAGAGACAAACAAAAACGTAGTAAGGACTGTAAGAACGGAGGGAGATTCTTTCTACCTGGAGTGTTATTTTGTGTTCTTCGATGAAAGCCAGCTCCCTGGTCACATCTTCGTTCTTTTGCTGCCTGCAAGCTTCCTTTCCAATGCGCCTTTCGAGGTCGTTGATCTTGAATTCTTGCACCAAACTTCTACGTTGCTGTGCTAGAGAAAATACGGGGTCGTCGAGAAGCATTTCATCCGTCAAATCCTTCCCCTCATTCTCGGAAAACTTTACAGAATACTTCGTCCGTCTTTCGCATGTGTCAAGCAAAGCTTTCGCTCTCTCCAAGACACGGCTGCCGTCATCCCCCTTGGAGCACGCATAGCTTCCTATGTCGAATAAATTCACATTCGACTCTTCGTGAAGTGACTCTTCAAGATCCTTGAATTTTTTATCTCTGGCTTCCAGCCCTTTAAGAACCTGCTCAAACGGATCCTTGTTGGGTTGAGCATCAGAAAACTCAAGCCTCGTACCTGCATAGAAACACTGTTAAGAAAATCAGTGCAAAAAACTTCGATACTGGCATAGAAACTAATGGAAATACCTCATCTAAAGTTTTCCACACATCTAAATTTACCAAAGAACGCTCGTCATTCAAGAAGAGAAAAGGAAACAAAGAGCATTCCATTCACGGACACATAAAACGAAACTTTCATCTTAAAATGGCCAGGAAAGCGCTCGTAGCTCGAGAAAAACTCACTAAACTGCGCATACCACAGTGATCTTGAATGAAACAAGGAGAGCAATCGAAAAAACACCCGCAATCTACACTAGATTCTTATTTGCTTTGTTGAGCATTCCCTTCACGGACACACAAAACGAAAATTTCATCTCAGAATGACCAGGAAAGCTTTCTTAGCTCCAGAAAACTCACTAAACTTTCACATACGACACAGGGAACTAGTGATCTTGAATAGCTCCAGGAGAGGATCGAAACAAAGCGATCAATCAAGAGAAAGCACCCGCATTCTACACTAGAATCTTACTTGCTTCGTTGATCACGTCAAGCATAGCTAAATCCCTGTCCCATTCGTCGTCATCGTCGTCCTCCTCCATAGCTCCTGCCCTAAAAGCTTTGAAAAAGTGCCTACGTGGCGGTTACATTCAAACGAGCTCTAGTGATTTAGGGTTCTTCTTCTTCTAGTGCCAGAGCAATGAAGGAGCGTCGAGTGACAAATCGAGGCGCTCCGGCAGCTCCAGCTGCTGCTGCTGCGTCCCGGCGGAGAAAGAAGCCGGCATTTGATCCATCCGGCGGCTTCTTCTCTGGCGTCCGCATTGGAGCTGTCGCAGCATTCGCGATTTTTGTTCTCACTGCGATCACTCTCGTCGTTCTTCTCTCTGCTCTCTATCCTCGCGAAACTCCGAGATCCATCACGCCGGTGGCGCTTCCAAAGATCATGGATTTGCCTCAGGTAGGCATGAATTTCCACAGGTTTTTGCCTCAAATATTTATTTTCAATGAAGTTTCAAGGCGAGCACAAGGAGCGACTCTACTGGGGAACCTATAGACCGCATTTGTATCTTGGAATTCGATCCAGGTAGAAATTCTCAGCTCTAAGTTTGATTGCTTTTCACGATGAACTTATAACATACTAGAACACCAAAATCATTGTTAGCTGGACTCATGTGGCTTGGTATCAAGGATGGATACTACGCTCTTCGTCACACCTGTGAAGACTCTGATGGACTTAAACGTTATGGTTGGGTTCGACACGATGGGATCTCTTATGGTCGCCAGGTATGCTGATTGTTATTGAGGCTTCTCTTGTTCTAACTATCTATTCAGGTGATTCTAGATCAAAATATGAATATCACCACTTTTTTCTCTAAGAGTTGGAATGACGGAAGTGGCTATGGAGGTGATTGGTCTGTCCGCGTGAATCTTCATCACAGCAGGTTTTGGTTTTTTCTAAAGAAAACCAGTTCTCATGCAGAGACTCGTTGTTCTGCAGTGAAATAAGTCGACTTCCGAATGGAGAGTCGTCTCTTTACTTTTACATTGCGGAGGAGGAAGGCAGCCAAATAAGAATATCGAGAAATGACGCATCTGGACTAGCTGCTTCGGGGCATAGACATGATATTGGACACTGGCAGATTCACATCAGTGCCGAGGTAGTCTTTTCTTTTCGTTTATATCATTCGTCTTTATGCTCTTCGCGCAGAACAATACTTTTTTTCATTACGCTGGGTTCCGGACGGGAAACATGCACAATATAACACAGCTTGTCCAAAATTCATTAATCGTTCAGGTTTTTCGTCATTTTTTTCTTTTTTCTTTTCCTCAAACACTCGCGCAGGAGCGTAAATTGCAACTACCTGATACTTATGAAAAATCTTCAAATATAGTAGTTTTTCAGGTACGTAGTGTATGCATCCTCTATAAGTTCTCTGATTCCTCTATGATACTTTCAAGGTTTTAGGCCGCAACCATCTTCAGCTAGATGTGACTTTTCTAGCTGGTGTCGACGAGAAAAAGTTCTCGGTACAGTCTCGTCTTGACCGTTTATCTGGTGGGCAAACACTTTAATTTCTTCTCGCTACCTGTTCTTATACTGAATTTTAAAGGGATTCGATTGGATGAAACGTTAAGAGTGCAAGAGCAAATTTTTGATAAGCGTTTTGAGAACGCGTACAAGCTGGATAACGAAGAGGTACTGGTAGTGATAAGAGCTGGAATACACAATCTTATGCTTCCTTTACATAGCTTTCTAGCTTTGGTGCTACCAACGCAGTGGAAATTGGCAAGGCTGCCCTCAGTAATCTTTTGGGAGGAATCAGCTACTTCTACGGCCAATCGCTTATTTCCATACCTTCAAAAGAGCAGGTACACGCTTCTTTCTCCATGTTTATTATCTAATACAACACATTTTAGAAACACCACCGAGAAAGTTTTTGGAAGTACTGGCCAGCTGCATTGTATAGTGCTGTTCCATGCCGCTCTTTCTTCCCTCGAGGTTTTTTGTGGGATGAAGGCTTTCATCAAATAATAATAAGGTACATTGATACAGCCCATGCAAGAAATAATCTTTTTTCTGAAAGCAGTAGATGGGACCGAAACCTGACATACGATATCGTTGGGCACTGGTTAGACTTACTTAACGTCGACGGCTGGATTCCAAGGGAGCAGATTCTAGGAGAAGAAGCCCGAGTGTACTCCCTGTTTTGAGACGTTTCAAAGTGCTAACTGTTTACCTTGCAGAAGGGTTCCCGATGAGTATATTTTACAGCACACGGATAACGCGAACCCTCCAACGTTGTTTTTGCCATTGCATGGTCTGAAAGCTTGTTATCTCTTTTGTGACTTCTTTCTCTGCCCTGCTGCAGATATTGCATTAGCATCACTAGAAAGTGGAAAAGAAAATAACGCTGAGAGGGCCTTCTTGGAAAAATCCTTCCCAAGGCTACAAGCGTGGTTTGGGTGGTTCAATAGAACGCAAGCAGGTCTGTGTACTGTAATCTTCATTGAAGTTGAAGCTTCTTGTTGCGAACAGGTACATTTCCTGGGACTTACTATTGGCATGGAAGAAGTATTACCGATAAGGAATTAAATGCCAAGGTAGGCACGTTTCATTCTGTGATTAACGCTCTAGACACCGGCTTCGTTAGAGTTTGTCGTCTGGTTTGGATGACTATCCACGGGCTTCACATCCAAGTGCTGATGAGCGACACGTTGATTTACGTTGCTGGATGGCCTTGGCAGCGAAATCTATGGTTATGATTGCCAAAATCATCGGAGCACCACATGAAGTAAGGAAAAACTGGCACAGCATGGCTCGCAGTAACGATTTACTTTTTCAGAAATACGAGGCTATGTCACAGGTTTTGTCAGACTTTGATGTTCTTAACCAGGTCAGTGTCGATCTGTCCTCATGACCGAACTCACTCTATTGTTCTTAGCTCCACTACGATCGCAAGAGAGGACGTTACTACGATTACGGCAATCATACTGAAAAAGTATCACGATAAGATCTCGATGATTTCAGCTCATTCTGTCCTCGACACAGGTGAAGCTGGAATGGGACAACTTCTTCGACCCAAGAACCGGACAAGTACAGCAAGTTCTCCGCAGAGTCGTATCTGGACGTCCAAAGTTGCAGCTGGTTCCACAATTTGGCTACGTGAGCCTCTTCCCCTTTATAGTGAAACTTATTCCCGCGGTAAGCTCTTCGTCTATACTGTGTCATACAAGTCCTAACGATTGGTTCTCAAAAGGACTCGCAAATCTTGGAAGCACACCTCAACCTTATCCAGAGCGAAAAGCTCCTCTGGACGAGCTTCGGATTGCGCTCGTTAGCAACAACAAGGTAGCGATTTCTACGTTTTTGTTGGAACATTTCATCGACTCTTTCTTTGTTTCCAGCTCTATTTATAACAGACGTAACACCGAGCATGACGCTCCTTACTGGAGGGGCCCTGTATGGATCAACATGAACTATCTCGTCCTTTCATCCCTTCACTACTACTCGCAAGGTAACGCGTGTGACTTTTGGCTGCAAGCGTTTGTTCCATCCACTGTGTGTGTGTGTTTTTAGAGCCAGGCCCATACAAAGACGCTGCTGCCTCTGTCTACAAACAGCTTCGTGCCAATCTGATAAGGTCGGCATCAAAGACAAAATGTGTTGGTTGATTGATTGATTGCTGTTGTTTGGGCACAGCAACGTTGCACGGCGCTACAACGAAATGGGATACATCTTTGAGCAGTATGATCATACAAAAGAAGGCGAAGGTAAAGGAGCCAGGCCGTTTACCGGTTGGAGCTCCTTGATACTACTGATCATGGCAGAGCAGTACCAACGCTAGAACGAGGCGTCCACACTGCTCTCACAAGTTAGTATGTGGTAAAAACGTTGGATACTAACTTACTTTAATCGGTCAATCGTCAAGTGTTTACCAGAGGAATTCTTCCCAGACAAGGCATCAAGCGAATCCAGCAGAGATTTGCCGGTCACAGTTCAGTATAATGTAGTACGTAACAGCTGCCTGCATTGTCAAAGAACAGACGATTGAGACATATCGAGTAAAAACCGCAAGAAAACTAACTTCACTCGATTCATTGTTGAGCAGATCCATTATAAGCAGTTGCCGCTCAAATCCAAGCTGTGTAACTCTTGCTAAAACATCCATATCAATCTGTGAGAAGAAAAAAAGGAAAAGTTTCTTTCTGGAGAACCAGCATTCGGAAGCACAGTACCGTGGAGTAGTATGATCGCATCGATAAGTGAGGTGGGATGTTGATTCTAAACCATGCGTGCTCCTTAATCTCTGCAACAGTGATCCGTGCGCGGGGATCCACAGTGAGCATCCTCGAAATCAAGTCGCGGGGTCCATCTGGAACAAAGAGAGGAAAGTTGAAGGTACCAGACTGACATCCATCCGCCAACCAATGAAACAAGTTATAAGTCGACCGCAAAGCAAGAAACTAAAGCGAGTGTTTGTTTACCAGGATTTTGGTGTACAGTGTCGTGGTGTTTGCGTCGTCGAAAGGGTAGCATCCACCGAGAAGCACGTAAAGGACTACTCCGCAGCTCCACACGTCCACTTCTGGCCCGACGTAAGGACGCCTTAGAAGAAGCTGGAGCGTAAAGCAAAGAAAGAAGAACAAGATCAAACAGGAGAAGTGAAGGGACTACATTTTTTCCAGACCTCTGGAGCGGCATAATGCGTGCTTCCACAGCTCGTTCGCAAGAATCCCCCCTCTTGCATGGTGTTGCAGAGCCCAAAGTCGCCGATCTTGATGTGCCGCTGTGAATCCAGGAAGAGGTTCTCGACTTTGATATCCCGGTGGATCGCGGACTTGCCGTGGCAGTACTCCACACCTGCAATGAGCTGCAGCGTTTTTCGATCGATCGACAGAGAGAAAAATAGACAAGAAGTGAAAAACAAGGGGAAAGGAATGGAAGGATAAAAAGGAAAAAAAAATCTGACTAGCAGTGAACTGACCTGCTGGAAGAACCATCGGGCCTCGGCCTCTTCCAGCCGCTGATTCCTTTGCACCAAGAGATATTCGTAGAGATCGCCCCTCTCGGCGTACTCCATGACGATCAACACATCCCTGGGCGTCTCGAAAACCTCGTAGAGGCGCACAATGTGGGGGTGCCGCAGCAGCGCCATCGTCCTCACCTCCCTCGCCACTGCCAGCGGCAAAATCCACGAGATCGGCTCAGGGGAAAGCGAGAGAGATCGATCGATCGGCCGATCCAGGCGCTCTTACCCTTCTCCCTCATCCCTCCCTCGATGATATTCCGCCGGCTCATCACCTTGATCGCGACCCTGCGCGCGCTGCGCCGATGCTCGCCAAGAACCACCGTGGAGAAGGATCCAGTGCCGATCCTTCTCTCGGTCCTGTAGCGCAGCTCCAAATCCGCCCTGGCGGCGAAGTTCCTCGCGACAATCGGCCGGTCCATCCCGGAACTAAAACCCCCCCAAGTTAAAATCAAATTAAACCTCATCTTCGCGGTCCCAGCCGTTGGATCCCACCGACGGCCGCGATCGCTTCTAGGGCTTTTCCATTTTGCGAGGGAGATCCCATTTGTTACATCGACGTGGCCCAAAGGTCACGGCCAGGGTTCCAATTATTTCTCCCTCTCATTCCCAGCGCGGGGGGATCCAAGAACAGCGCTAGGGCTAGCAGTAGATCGATCGCGCCACGGCTCCTGGAAGAAATCGCGGCCTAGAATCACAGCAGCAGCACGGTGAGTTCTTCTCCTTCTTCCTCCTCCCCCTCTTCCGGGATTTCTTGGAGAATCACAGTAGATTTTCAAGGCCAGGGCCGCCCCAGCAAGTGCGCCCGGGACGAGCCGCCACAATGCGGGTCTGTCTCGTAGAGCAAATGGCTAACAGTCAGGAAAGGAGTTGTGTAGCCAATCTGGAGAGTCCTAAGGGAAGAAGCAGCGACCGTGTGGGTCGTGCCAAGAAGCCGCCCTGGGATCGTGATGTTCACGCTCCTCGTCTCTTCTCAGACATTGAGAACTATAAAGGAAAGCCATCTTCGCCATCGCCAGTGAGGCGCCTGGAAAGATTGGTGCGTCGGGTCTCTTACTGCCCCAAATACCCCCAGCCAGATACACCACACTTACACACTTATGTGGTCATTCGGCACTTCGCTGATTCCTAAGTAAGCTGGATTTTTCTTCACTTTTTTTTTTCTTCTTCTTCTTCGTCTTCTTCCGTTTTGTTCTTCTTGTTCTTCATTGCAACTGTTTGGTCAACTGTTTCCTTGTTTTGCTTTTCCTTTTATCATCTTCTAGTTTCTAATAGACTGTCGTTTCCAGGATTAAACCATGACGAGCACTTGTGTAGATGTAAAGGAGCTTCCTAATTCTTACATCTTTGTGGCCGACGTCCCCGGCCTGAAGAACACGGACGTGAAGGTACGAGCGCTCTCATCCAAGTCATGCATAAAGTTTTAACACGAAACTCTCGCTCAATCACCCAACAAACAGAGGATGAGCGTGGGTGCTACTTGCAGGTACAAGTTGAGAACGATAGTATTCTAAAGATCAGCGGAGAACGGAAACGAGATGACAATCCCAACCATGACATAAAATATGTTAGAGTTGAACGCTCGTCCGGCAAATTCATGCGAAAGTTTAACCTTCCGGCCAACGCCAATCTGGAAACCATCTCGGCTACTTGTCTCGACGGCCTTCTCACTGTTGTTGTGCCAAAGATCCCAGCGCCAGAGAGCCACAGGCCAAAGACTTTTGATATTGCAGTTGCCAACATCAACTTCGTCTACAAGTGATGAGCTCGCAATCGTTCTTGTTACTTGGCGGTGGTCGTGGAGGCAGAAGTTTTCTGGTCTTTTCATTTGCTTTTTTCTTTCCTCGGTGGATAGCTACTTGAGTAAGAATTTTAATTTGGCTTTGCATTGTGAGACTGACTTCTCTGTTTTAAACAAGGGAGAATTTGATCCATGGAACTTAAAACCAAAAGAATCAACGAGCGTCCTGTTTTGGATGTTCCGGGATGTTTCATCAGAGAACGAATAAGAACCTCAGAGGTTGTCAACAAATTGAGTGGAAAAGTCGAGCTTTATCGATGTAGCGCATGGTAGTGGTGGCGGTGGTGGTGGTCGCGCTGATCGATAGCTAAACCATGGTGGCCATGTTTTGGTGGGGGGGACTAGCGGTAACTTTCTTCGGTAAAGCATATAAAAGGGGAGGCAGGAAGGGGAAAGGTCTTCTCTGTGGGTCATTAAACACGTGTAAGGTACGTGTTGAGGACTGCAGCGATGTTACTGTTAGCGACCTTTTCGTGGCACATCTCTTCTTTCAGGTAGCGACATAGGGACCGAAGTTTGCTGCCGATCCAAGTTCGTCGACTACTGTGTGATCTCTCACATCTGGTGAGTGCTTCCTTTGCTTCGAAAGATCGTGGTGGGGCTTTGGGTTTCCAGGAATGGCACAGATTTTGCTCCATGGAACACTTCACATCACGGTCTATGAGGCCGCATCATTGGTGAACGAGAATCGGGTCTCTGGAGCCTCTCCCAAGTTCATGAGAAAAGTAAGTCCTAGGCAGGAAGTTTTGTAGCTTGTTAGAAGAACTTTACTCTTGGTACTCGATTCTTACTGCATTTCTAGTTGTAGTGGAAGTTTCTCAAGTTTGCTCACTCTATTTGTATTTTCTTTTTTTTTCTAGATGGTCGAAGGAGTGGAGGACTCCATTGGTATTGGTAAAGGCGTGAGCTCTCTCTATGCAACCATCGACCTCGAGAGGCAGCGAGTGGGACGCACTCGCCTCATCCGCAAGGAGCCTACTAAGCCTGTGTGGAACGAGTCCTTCCACATCCAGTGCGCGCACAACATTGCCAACGTCGTTGTGAGCGTCAAAGATGACCTGGCCGTCAGCGCCTTCCTCCTCGGCCGAGCGAAAGTCCCCGTGAAGCGTATCATGTATGGCGAGCTTGTTGAAGGCTGGTTCGAGCTCTACAACGACAGCGGCAAAAAACTCGGCAACTCTCGAGTCCGCCTCCGTCTCCAGTTCTTCGACATCACCAGAGATCCTCGCTGGGGACGCGGCCTCGTCGATGGAACGAAGTTCCCTGGTGTTCCATTCACGTACTTCCCGCAACGCAAAGGCTGCAAGGTCACGCTCTACCAGGACGCTCATATGACTGACAACTTTCTTCCGAAGATCTATCTCCACGGCAACGCTGTCCGGGAGCCGACTCGCTGCTGGGAGGACGTGTACGAGGCCATCGCAAATGCTCAGCACTTTATCTACATCACCGGCTGGTCGGTCTACGCGGAGATAACGCTCATCCGAGACTCGGCCAGGCCCGTCCACGGCGGTCTCAACGTTAAGCTCGGGGACCTCCTCAAGAAGAAGGCTGACCAAGGCGTAAGAGTTTTGATGCTCGTCTGGGACGACCGGACGTCCATGTCGGTGGTGAAGATGGAGGGACTTATGGCGACTCACGATCAGGAAACTCTGAACTTCTTCTACGGTTCCAAAGTCAAGTGCCTGCTCTGCCCGAGAACTCCCGACAGCGGCCTGAGCTACGTCAAAGGTTTCCAGATCGGGACTATGTTCACTCACCACCAGAAGACGATCATCGTCGACGCCCCGGGAAGAAGCCACCAGCAGCGGCGAGTCTTGAGCTTCGTTGGTGGACTGGATCTCTGCGACGGCCGCTACGACACGCAGTTTCACTCCTTGTTCCGGACACTCGGGACTGTTCACAAGGAGGACTTCCACCAGCCAAACTACGCGGGAGCTTCCATCGACAAAGGTGGCCCGCGCGAGCCATGGCACGACATCCACTCCAAGCTCGAGGGGCCCGTGGCTTGGGACGTTCTCCGCAACTTTGAACAGCGGTGGCACAAGCAGGGTGACGGCAACCAGCACCTCGTCTCGCTCGGGAACCTGGAGCCGCAATCATCTCTAGTCGCGGACGAGCACGACGAGAACACCTGGAACGTCCAGCTCTTCCGCTCCATCGACGGGGGAGCAGCGGCAGACTTTCCAGAGAGTCCGGAAGCAGCAGCAGCAGCGGGGCTCGTCAGTGGAAAAGACTCGACGATCGACCGCAGCATCCAGGACGCCTACATCCACGCCATCCGGCGAGCGAAGGACTACATCTACATCGAGAACCAGTACTTCCTCGGCAGCTCGTTTGCCTGGGAGTCGGACCACGACGCGGAGGCTCATCACGTAATTCCTCGCGAGCTGGCGCTCAAGATCGTGAGCAAGATCGAGGCTGGCGAGCGCTTCTCCGTCTACGTCGTGCTTCCGATGTGGCCCGAGGGAGTCCCCGAGAGCGGCCAGGTGCTGGCCATCCTCGACTGGCAGAAGAAGACGATGCAGATGATGTACAAGGCCATAGCTCAAGCTCTCGACGCACAGGGGATCCGCGGCGTGTCCCCCCGCGACTACCTGGCCTTCTACTGCCTCGGCAACCGGGAACGCCGCCTCGGTGGAGAGTTTCTACCGCTGAGCACTCCCGACGCGAACTCGGCTGGCTACCGGAGCGCTCAGGAGAATCGCCGGTTTATGATCTACGTCCACTCCAAGATGATGATAGGTACTCTCTCTCTCTCTCTCACGCATTCTTTGCTTTGATCGCATGGTTTTACTTCCTTTCCTCGATGCTTCTCTTCTTCCAGTTTGAGTTACTCTCGCTGGCATTTCTTCCTTTCTTTCCTTCTTCCAGTTTTAGTTTACTCTCACTTCCTTTGATCGCTCTTCCTCACTCTTTTGATCTCATGGTTTTCCTTTCCTCGACGCTTTTCTTTAGTTTACTCTCATTCACATTCTTTCCTTTGATCGCTTGGTTTGCTTCCTTTCCTCTATGCTTTTCTCCTATCATACTGGTTTCGTGATATCTCACTGGAAAAAACTCGTTTTTTTTTCTCCTTGTAGTGGACGACGAGTACATAATCGTTGGATCCGCCAACATCAACCAGCGATCAATGGACGGGGGGCGCGACACGGAGATCGCCATGGGCGCGTACCAGCCGCTCCGTACGTGGCCCACGCGCGGCCAGATCCACGGCTTTCGTATGTCCCTGTGGTACGAACACATGGGCCAGCTGGACGACCTCTTCCTCCGCCCTTCCAGCCTGGAATGCATGCGCAAGGTCAATCGGACGGCCGACCAGCTCTGGCACATGTACGCCGCTGATGAGATGGTGGATCTGCCCGGCCATCTCCTCGCCTATCCCGTCGGAATCGCCAGCGACGGTTCCGTGGCGGAATTGCCAGGGTGTGCCAAGTTCCTCGACACCGACGCTAAGATCCTGGGCGTCAAGTCCGACGTTCTGCCGCCAATCCTTACCACTTGACACAGACCATCATTCGCAATAATGCCTGTATCATATCAAACCTTTGTTCCAACTTTATAAGAATTTGAGCCATGGTCAGTAAAATAAGACTATTACAAATTTGACAGTGAAATTTTTTCTTTCTACACAATCACGATCACGACTCGGCCATCACCTCGTCTCGTTGAGCCTTCTCGCTACTCTCCTGGCTTTTCTTCTCGCCATCAATCTCTCCCTCGGCTGCTACGTCCGGCTTTGCTGCTGCCGGTGGCTCCTCCTTCTCTACTTCTTTCGCTGCCTCGGCTCCATCTTCCTTCTTCTCCTGCGCCGCTGGCTCCCCCGCGTCCACCATCTCGGTGTCTCCATCGCTCTTCTTGGTCGCCGCCTTGGCTTGGGACTTCTCCTCCTCGGCCTTGGCAGCCACGTTCTCTTTCTCGCCGGGCTTTGCCTTGTCCTTGTCGACCTCGTCGTCGGTGTCGGGGAGCTTTCTCAACTCCTCCCGTATCAGAGCCTTCGCCCGGGATTTCATGGTTCCGTCCGTGCAGTCGATGTTTAACCTTTCGCCTGTGACGTTAAACGGTGTCAGCATCTCTCTTTCAAAACCGTATGAAGCTAAGCTAGATCGCTTACCAAGTTTCTTGATGATAACAGTGAAAGAAGCCTGCAGATCGCAAACAAGAGAGGATGAAGTGAGACGCAAGCCTTCTTAATAACCAGCAACAGCCATACCTTCTTGAGGTCGAGAGTTTGGAGTAGGTCCTTGACATGAGTCCGAATCTCCTCGTCCTTCGAATGGTTGGACTGAGCTTCATCGCCTCCCTCTGGAACCATCAATACAAATGGTTAGAAATGCAGCTACGGAATACCACTGATCGCCCAGCCAACCTTTGTCGGTCGATTTCTCTTTGCCCTTCGTGGACTTCTTCGCTGACTTGGCCGGAGTCTTTTCCTTCTTCTTGGTTTTCTCCTTCTCGGTCTCCTTTTTCTTCCTGGTAAAAACTTTCGTATCCGTCTTCTGCTTCTTAGGTGGCGGCCTTTCGCCAGAGTCAGCTTCTGTATCGTCAGCGGACTCGCTCGCATCTCCTTCTTCATCTGACGTTTTCTTTTGCTCGATCTCGTCGTCGTCATCAGATTCCTCCTCGTCGTCCTCTTCCACCACCTGCTTTCTTTTTCTGCCGCTGCGTTTTGGTGGCTCGTCTGAGTCCTGCTTCTGCACATGATCATAAAGTGAGATTTATGCAAGTTGCCAGCACAAATACTACCTTAGGCCTTCCCGGACTTTTCCCCTTGCGTTTCTTTTCAGCCTGGAAAAAATAATACAGTAAAATGCATCTGTGGCAAAGCTACAAATACCTGCTCTTTTTCTGTGTCTTCCAATTTTATATCTGTTGTCGCGTGTGGAGCTGCTAGGAACTCGAAGACCTTCGCAACCAAGTCCTCCTACATTTGAAAGGTCATTAGTATCAGAAGCACAAGCTCGCTGCTATCAACAAACCTTTTTCCCCTTCATATTCAAATCCAAGATATCTATAAGCTCGTTTAGCTCGTCCTTATGGCACTTTTCAAGCCGCTCCCTCGCTTTAATCTGGTCCTTTTCCTGATTTATTTTGGCAACAGCCAGTCAAAACCACCACGAGCGCAGTAAAATAATACCTTCTCTCCCCAACAATGGCCCGAAAACTGGAGAAGATTTTGCTTGACAGTAGCCGCCTGCGAGCAAAGACATCAGAAAAGAACAAACAATAAATGATGCGGTTACCTTAGACCGCTGAGCGAAGAAGACGTAGTGGAGAGTCTTCAATACAGGATCGTTCTTGTTAATTTTACTTAGTTTGTAAGCCACTGCATCACCGAAAAGCAAACGAGCGGGTAAGCATCAGGCGACAGCGAAAGGAATAACGCAGATATACCATTCGGGATTTCTTTCAGAGGAGTGCCGCCTCCCTGCCAACGTGCTTCCGACTTAGTCACGCAGCCGAAAGAAACACAAGCGATAAAGAAGAAGATGTACCTTTCTGATATAAACGTCCTTCGACTTTGGCATATCCAGAGATCCTGCTCCAAACCTCTCAATCGATTTCTTCTCCCGTGAAGGCCTGTCAATCGGAGGCGAGAACTCGGCTTTCTTCCTTCCCCGCTTGGACTTGGGTGTTTCCTCGGACCCCTCACCTTTCTCAGGCTTCTCGGTCGGAGTCGAGGGTGTGGCCTCTTCCTTCTCCTTGGCCTTGCTGCTATCTTTCCTGGGCCGTCCCCTCTTCTTTGGTTGCGGCTTGGACGCCTCAGCCTCGCCGTTCTCGGCATCCTCTTCGGCCTTTTCATCCTTCTCCTCAACACCTTCCATGGCCGTGGCATCACCACTCTCACCCTCTTTCTCCTTCTCTTTCTCCTTCTCATCTTCCTTCTCGTCGCTCTCGGCTTTCTTGTCCTCCTCCTCCTCGGCGGCCTTGGCCTTACTATCACCGTCCGCTCCTTCCTTCTCTTGGCCCGACTTACCTGGAGCTTCTTCCGGTGGCGCCGGAGCGGCTTCTTGGGTCTGGACGCCCTGGATAGACTCCTCGCCCTTCACCTCCTCCTCGCTCTTCTTCTCCGTCAAATCTTTCGCTTCCTTGGCGGGCGCTAGATTCTCTTCGGCCGCCGCCGCCGCCGCCACGGGCGCAGCGTCGCCTTCCTCCGTCGCCATTCCTATCAACACTAGCCCAACGGATTTCTTTCGAGCCCTAAAACAAGGAAGAAGAAGAAGAAGAACCCTAACCTCGAAAAACAAGGGCCACTGCTACTTTTTTAGACGCGCATTTCCTTGTCCTCCTGCCACTGGGAGAAATCCAAGAACCCTAGCCCGACCGAGAAAGTAGAGAGCTTTAGAGACGCCCTAGCCACTGGAGACGATGCGGACTCCAAAGCTTTTGTTGGATCACGTTGAATGCGCCTTCCGGATCCCAGGCACTTATCCAATCCGACCCAAGGAATATATTCCCGCCAATAAAAAAAAGATGCCAACGGTGAGAAAACAAAATGGAAATTTAGGGCTCTTCCTCTTCCGCGCTAGACTGAAATTCACAAGAAAGCTCTGATCTATCGCATCCTCGCTGGGAGCTGGGCGCGCTACACTAACACACTGATCCAGGGATGATCTAATAAGCGTAGAACTCGACGAGCTCCTCCACCGCGCCAATTGAATTGCCGTTGCCGCTGTCTAGCATCCAGAGCAGGTGCTCAAACATGACGATCTCGCAGGGGACGAACAGCCCACAATCTCCGGCGTCTTGCTGCTCGCCGCTGGTGGAATTGGGCTTGGATTTGTCGAGCAGGGATCGAAAGAGGGGCATCTGGAGGTAGTGCTCGCCAAGAACATACCGCCGGCGCTCCTTGCCCACGTACACTACGAACGTCCCCTCGTATGGGAGCTTGTGGCTGATCATCTGGTGATCATGGGCTTGCTCATCGTCCAGGCTCGCAATGGATTTCTTGTTGCGCGCGAATCGTTGCCAGGTGCTCACGATCCTCCTGATCTTGTTGTGCTTGTGTATGGCCGACGAAGACGACGACGAAGAAGAGGAGCTGACAAGAGTGGACATAACTTCTACAAAGAAGAAAGAAACAAACCAATGTGGTGGTGATCCAGCTCTGGCAATCACGAAGAATCTCACGAATCTCTGGGCCGATTCAATCCAGAAAGCTTGAATCGTGGTCAATAGCGCTAGCGTTGGGCGATCTCCAATTGTGGAGAAGATCATCCACATCCAAGCGAGGAGCAAAGCACCGGCGACCCAGAAAATCGCGGGGGATCTAGCGCAATTGCCATGATATCTTGGCTAGCAAGGAACTGGAAGAACAGCTCAAAGCTCCTCGCAAAGCCTCTTTTTTGAAGGGAATGAGACGTGTCCTTAAGCCTTGGCCCTTGCTAAGGACACCATGTCCCTCATCCTTGTCAATGACGGTAGTGAGGTGGTGGTGGTGGTCCTCCAGTTTTGTGGAGGTGGAGACAAAATATTTGGAGTCTTGATCGTCAATCCTGCTCTAGCCTACGCACATAAATGTTTCATGTTCCATTCATTAACACTCAACATTGTAAACTTTGGTTTTTAGTTGTATTTTTATATTTCTTATTATATGGCTAACTTCATTATTACTATTAACTCATTAATCAAAGAAGTGATACAATCATTTGATCTAGTCATGGTCGTGTTGGAACACGTCTCCACAAGTCTTAGAGACGATCCCACACGGTTTCCGGCATTGGCAAAAACAACTCTTCCTCGAATTGAATGTTTCATATCGCCGGAGATCGAGTTGGACCCCATTGGCTTCAATCTCTTTTTGTAATACCTGCGCATGCATGCTGGAAGTTTCTTCGAATTGGATTGAATCACTTGACCACTGCATAAATTAATGTATAGCTTGTGAGAGACTCAGCTACGATTCCTGTCCTAGCAGCTGTTCTTTCGAGTCCAAGAGAAATTGATAGAAGCAACATTAAGATTGGATGGATGTTTGCCACCAAAAAAGTCTCCAATGGTACATTGCCAGGTATTTTGACGATATGAGATGCAAGCTTACATCTTTGATCATGGATTTGTTTTGGAAGAGAAAATTCAACCAGCGTTGAGCCACTGTGGCTATTGCCAGCACCAAGGAAGGACAAAGAAAGTGATAAGTGAGTCCAACCAAGGCAGCCACAAATAATAAATTAGGACCACACCAAATGAGAAAATCCCATCAGGAATCAGCCATGTATGTGCAACTGCAAGGCTAGTGTAGACATATGATCTGTGCTTTATTTCATTGTTGCTGCCTGTTTTTCCCCTGCCACTCCTGCCTGTTGGTACTGACTTGGTGGAGTGTAATAAAAGTAGTGGGAGAGATGGGAGAATGAAATTGATGTTATACTCTGCACTTTTGCTTGTCTTTTTGAAAGAAAAGAAAGAGAGAACCTCAGCAAAAACTTCCTCAGAGCCTTGCATCTGCTGTTTGAGCTTGCAAAAGCTGATAATGGGGGAGCACCCTTTCAATTGGGATAGATTTCACATCCCTGTCACAGTTGGTGGGCTTCTCTAGTTGCCTTTGAAGACAAAAAGTTTGTCCCTCTTGGTCTAAGGAGCAAAGCAAGATGCACATTTCACACAGCTAGCTGCACATACTGGTGTGCAGATCAAATGGACAAGCAACTCCACTGTCTCAGGAGGCCCACATAGTTGCAGTGTACAGTGCTCTTTTACCTTTCACCTCTCAAGGATGAGGAGTGCTTTCTTGCCTTAGATGCAATTGCTGCTGCAGTTTTGGAAGTTGGAGTCAGAGAGGGGAGAGGAAGGGTTTGGAAGAATGCATACATGTTCAACCATACATGTTATCCAATTTGTCTCCATGCAGAGCTCAAGTTGCTGCTACACAAAATGTTGGGCGTGTCCAAAATTCTGTACAGCTTCACTCTCTGTTGAGTCCAAAATTATAGCAAGGATCAGCACAAGATGATGATCCTCGTGGGAAGTTCAGCGACCAAACAATAAGAAAGTTGACAACCTTTTTCTCAAAAAGAAAAGTATGGTTCCAGGGTGCACATGAGAGTGTTTTGGAGGTCTGGAAGACACAGTTGGCCACCAACATTCAGAATTTCCGCTGCTGCACGTGTGGCAAGGACGAGAACCCTGATCAAATGGTGGTGGCCAGAAGATCGAAACGTACCCACACCTTCACGATTCGGTTCCAGAGTACAAAACCAAAAAAACAAAATGGGGAAAAGAAAGGTCAGCCATGTTTCATGTATAGCAGCTTTTTCTCTCTTTTCCTTCTGAGGAGAGCACATGAAGGCCACAAGGTCTAAGCATTCTTACTTACAAACTAAACAAGCTCTCCGTTTTGCTAAATCCGCCATGGAAACCGCCAGTGTTCGAGCAGTGCAAGTTAGCGAGCAGAACGTATGCTGCTCCATACCCCGGATCCATCCCCAGGATTTGCCTGGTAGCACCAAGGCCGCCATGGATGCTGCTATGACTCCTTGACGCTCCAAGCAAGCACATCCAGTCCAAGCCATCGGCCTCGAAAGGCATGGTTTCGACGAGCTCCCCGGCCTTGGTAAGGCGCCCGGCACGAGCGAGCAAGTCCACCATGCATCGGTAGTGCTGCTTCGAGGGCTGAATCCCAAAGTCCACGCTCATCGACTGGAAGTATGATCTTCCACTGCCGAGATCGCCCTGGTGGCTGGAAGCGACCAACACCGACGCGAAGCACGCATCGTCCGGGGCAAAAACCATCTTCATCCCGTGGAAAGTTTCGAAAGTCTGATTGCAGTGTTGCCTGCTTTGAGCTGACGCTGCAAGCACCGCATTGCAAGACACTACGTTTCGTTCCGGCATCTCTTTGAAGATCTTCCTGGCGTCTTTCACGAGCCCGTGTTGGATCGCGCACGTCCAGGAGACGACGTTCTTTTGTGGCATGGAGTTGAAAAACTCCTTTCCTTCGAAAATGCACCCGTTTAGCGTGTACGCAGCAAGCATGACGTTCCCTGTAACTACATTCCGCTGAGGAAATCTAAGGTAGAACTTTCTAGCCTCGTCCACGAGTCCACAGCGTGCATAAGCTTCCAGCATAGCGTTCCAAGACACCACGTCGTGCTGTGCCATGTCGCAATCGAACAGCTTCTTGGCCTCCTCCAAATGCCCAGTTCCGGCAAATGCCGCTAGCGTGGAATTCCACGTCACCAGATCCTTTGCTGACATGGACTTAAAGATTCCCAAAGCTCCGTGCAAGTCCTCCACATTAGCGTAAGCACTAAGCATAGCGTTGTGCGAGAGTATAGTATGATGTGGCATGCTATCGTATAACGTCTTAGCTTCGTACAGATCCCCGCTTTGGGCAAATGCAAAGAGCATCGTATTACACGACACTACGTTCTTATACGGCATACATTTGTACAGTATTTTAGCTTCCTCCAAGTTGAAAGCTTGTAGAATTGCAGCTATCATTGTATTCCAAATAATGATATTTACAAAGGGCAAGCTACAAAACAAGAGTCTTGCTGCCTCTAGATACCCGTGTTGCGCATAAGCGGCTAGCATTGCACTCGCTGTGATTAAATCCTGCCAAGGCATACTATCATAAACTTGCTTTGTTTGCTCAAAATCTCCGACTAGCGAGAAGGCACACAACATACAAGTAAATGACACGGTATCTCTCACAGGCATCTTACTAAATATCACCTTCGCGAGAAGTATATGCCCGCTTTGAGCATAAGCCGAGAGCAGCACATTCCACGAGATAATATTCCACAATGGCATCGACTCAAACAGTGACTCCACTTCTACCACTTGATCCTTGCGCGCGTAGCCAGACAAAATCGTGTTCCACGAGAATAAATCCGGGCCGTCTATCCGTCCAAATATCCTGTGGGCCTCGCCCAGATTCCCTTGCCGGGTATATGCCAGGATCATCGCATTGCAGCACACAACGTTGTGAAGCGGCATCGCGTCGAAAAGATACGCCGCATAATCCACCCTCCCTTCAGTGGCGCAGGCAAAGATCATGGTGGTCCAAGAGAAGACGTCTCTACGCGGCATCGCATGGAATATCCTCTGGCACTCGCAAAGATTCCCTTGTTGGGCAAATGCGTCGAGCATCGCATTCCAGGCGATTAGATTCCATCGCGGCATGGAATCGAAGACCTGCTTGGCTTGCCGCACAAATCCATTGCGGGAGTACGCGCAGAGCATGAGAACCCAAGAGAAAGAATCCCTCGTCGCGGCAGCCATGCCGCAAAAGAGCTGGAACGCAAGATTGGGGCTCCCGCACCGCCCATACATCTCGATCAGCTTGTTACACACGAAGACATCGTCGATTAGCGCGGGATCCATGCGGGAGTGGATCAATCGCGCGTCGCTCAGGCTCCGGCAGCTACGCACGAGCTCCAGCCATCGAGTCCTGTCCATGCCATTCAAAATGCCCAAGAACCCTCGTTTAGACGGTGGAGATTTCAGCGCGTGGGACTAGTATCGCCAATTGTATGGCTGCGATGTATTTACAGTGTCTTTCCGTGAAGAATGAGCTCAGTCGCTTCCTCGCTCTGGATCCACGGATCATTGCGCTGGAGGAGGCGGAGGAGGTACTCGAACAGCGCGACCGGGCAGGGGATGAGGAGCCCGCCGCTGTAAGCGTAGCCAAATTCTTCCTCGGATTGCTGGAGCAGCGCCCCAAACACTGGATGCTGGAGGTAGCGCGTCTTGAGGACGAAGCGCTTGTGCTCCGGGCCGACGTAGACCGCGCAAGATCCTCGGTGGACGTCGCGCGGGATCGAAGGAGGTGATCTCCTGGCGATAATCTTCCTGTTCTTCGGCGACGCAGGGGAGGGCAAGGCGCAGCTCCTGGACGACGCCATCGCGCAAGAGAGGCGCTCGAATTTGTGGCACAGCCGCTTCAAGAGATTGGTGTGGTGATGGTGATGATCGTCCTGGTGGAGCTTGTGGTAGCGCGAGTGATAATGCCGCCGGAAGAGCAGCGCCTTGAGCTTGATCTTCTTGAGCATCTTCATCCTCTCCCTGCAGAGAAATATCGATCCTGCTCCTCCCCCCTAGAAATATTTCGTCGCCATCGCGGCTCCTCTTACCCTTCCCTCTCGATTCGGCACGATTTCCCCTCGATTCCTTGCGGGAAATCGGAGGCCGTGCTAGAACACGCGCAAATCGACCCCGGGCACCTTGAGGAGGCCGCCAAACCAGAGAAGCACCGACAGGATCCGGAGCGACCACAACAGCCAAGATCTCTGGAAGAAGCACAAGATCACAGGGTCCATGAAATGGAAGAAGCTAGAGAATCTAGAGCGAGCGATTGAAATGCGAGCGATCGCGACAAGGCACAGCAGCGATTCTCACGGGGAGTGGAGAGGGAAGGAGAGAAGCTGGAAGAACAACGCCATGATCGAAGCTCTTGCTTGCTCTTTCCAAGAAATAGGGCAAACCGGGGTTTAAATTGGCGTGCGCCGGACTCGAACAGGGGACCGTTTCATGCAAACCCGGTCAAAAGTGGCGTTGCATCGTATGAAGCGGCGCGTTGAAAAACGTGTTAGTTTTGGGTTCCTCTCCCGGGACGAACTCGTTTGATTAAAACTCCCCAAGGTTTAGTTCGCATGGATTCATAGTTAAGTGATATATCATACATTGTGTTAGATCAACTCGATTCTATAAGGTTATAGATCTTCTCAATGCCAGAGCTCCCAGAGACAGTGAAGGACCATTGAGAGAGTGAGTGACACGGTTGATCCATCCACGCACGAAGGCAACTTTTGGGCTGAAGAAAAGAAGAAAACGACCACTTGCGACCAAATTAAAATATAAAATAAATGAAGAATAAAAACCAACAATAATACAAAAATATAACATTAAAAAAAAAAAGTGTTAAAAATAATATTTTGGCTGCGGTCGACCAACACCACCACGAGTGCGAGGATATTTGGTTTTCCCATTGCAGCAAAAGGACTACAAAGTACAGTGGTACAAACAATATATGTTTTGTTTCCTTAGAAGCTTTGGTGGACCTTTGGATTCCCGCCACTCCTTTTCAATCAATCGACATAGCTTAGCTTGTGCTCGGCAGGGCCACTGGCAAGTTTTTAAAGTTGAAAAGCAAGATCAAAAGGGACCTGTCACATAGGGGCGCACGATAGATCGAGACGAGCGCGAGAAAAGTGATAGAAAACTATGTGACAATAGTACCTGGAGGAGAGCTCGAATTCTAAGTAGATTTTGCCGCTGGCCAAAGTGGATTCTCTAGCAAGTGTGATGAGGCTTGGACACTCCTTACCACCACCTTGCAATCGGCATCAACTGTGTAGGAGATCTTCAGGCCCTCGAGAATCACATTGTAAAGCACGAGCTTTTCATCCCCTCCTCCATTATGGAGCTCGGAAGAATCGCCATAGAGTGGCTGCGCGATCTCGCTGACCACTCCATCGTGCGGCCTCTGCCGCTGGCTCAAGGACCGAATATCGCAAGAGAGAACCTGCGCTATGAAATCATGTAGCTCTCTGGAACTGGAATAGAGTGAGAACCTTTCCTGCCGTTTTCCAACAGGAGACGCTTGTCAACGACAAAGCAAACAAAAGAAGGAAAGATAACTGCAAAGTGGTTTGCGTAAGGACTACGAGTGCGTACCATTTTGTTCCAGCACTCATCGAGGCCATTTAGAGAAGCTTCAGTGAAGGTGACGGAAGCCACGGCGAGTGGATCGTCCTCTCCGCCGGCCTGGAACAAAAGAGAGAAAAGATAAAATCTTGACAATCTTTCGCAAGTGATCACGGAATAAAATCGGGAAATCTTTGGCTCTTACATTGACCCACGTTGGTGCCGAAGCTTCTCTCACGGAATCGCAATATGGAAGATAAGGCTTTATGTCAAGCACGGGCTACAACATCACAAATACGACAAGCACCATAAAACCTGAGTAGAAAAGGAGGTCGAAGAATAGTATACCGTGCCATCAACGAGATCAGCTCCGGAAAGCATTAGAATTCCATGCTCTAGACGTTCCACCTGAAGAAAAAACTTTTAAGATCAAACACGACAAGAATTTCGGGAAAAAGATAAGAGACCTTTGCAACTGTTAAGCCGATAGGACACGGTCGATGTGGAGTTCTAGTCGCAAAAACTCCGAGTTTGGCACCATTGAGCCTTGGCACTCGTACCTTTTACGCAAAGGAACTGGCTCAGCGCTAGAAATACAAAGAATGTGTTTGTTCTTGTCACCTTAGCCTTGAAGTCTCGATGGCTCGATAGCTCCCACAAGTTGTGTAAGTCTGTGTTCTCGTGAAAAACGTAGATTAACCAGCAGTGTGAGTACTGCTCAATCCCGTCCAGGGCCGCGGCAGGCACCCCGGAGGACAAAACCAAGCGCGATTTAGCAAGTGTTACGAGGAGAGGTTGACGAGGAGTTCCATTTCTTCACAAAAAAAGAGAGAAAAACTTTTGTTCTCAAATAGAACTTAGATAAGAGTTTTGAGTACCTTGTTGAATAACATGATCTCATATACCCGATTGGTGTCATGGGAAAGGACGATGTGGGAGTTTTTCCAATGACATTGCATTGCATCAAGTTTTTTCGCAAGTCCTGAGCAATACTCAAAAGGTTAGAAAGGAAAACAAAAGGAAAGGAACGAAAATACTCACACGCTGTGCACGAATTCGGCCCGTCCTTTCTTCGGCTCTTTGCTTCTGGGATATTTGCAAAGCGTCGTCTGATTCAACGAGCTTGAGCTCCAGTTTGACACACTTTCTTGTCAATCTCCAAACTATATGATATGATCACACCAGAGAACGAAATTTAATCCTTTAGACACCCATCTTCCAAAAGAATTCGCGTACCTTGAATAAGCAAAGCTGTCGCAGTGGAAACTGAAACCACCGCTATAGCCCATCTCATCATTTCCGTGGCCTAGAGCTTAGGGTTCTAGCCTTTCTCGTGTCACTAGCGTTGACTTGGGCGTTGACTAGTTGACTTTTCAGCCAGCTACTGGCCGATCGAAGCGTTCGCAGCTCGCCATCTAAAATGGCCTTGGCCATTTCTCGTCGCGGTTCGTGCACAATGCCGTGGACATCTCCTGCCTACAAGGAAAACAGTGATTGGATTTTAGCAAAGCTTTGCGAGAAAACTTTACCAAGTCCGCTGCTACATATTTCTCGATAAGATTGTCGACCTGGGAGAGGATTTCTAGTAGGGCGCATCGATCTTTGTGTTGGTTATCTTGATCCCAGGAAAAATTGCCGCTCCCAGCGGAGCTCGCGTCCAGTCTCTCAAGTTCTGCCGAGAAAACTTGAATTAGTAGCAAAAGGAAGAACAGTACCTTCGGGGGTTTTTGCGCAAAGAACTCGAGCAAAACTGCGAAGGCCGGGTGGAATTCCATTCGGATTTGAGTTTATATCCCTGAAGAAACAAGAACAAAAGACAAAAGTGGGACTCCGTAAGAATATGCTCTTACTGGATGACAAAAGCTTTTCCCATACTGCCATCTTCTTCCTCTGTTATTTTGATCTTGTTCCTGGAGAAGACGTCAAGTTTTGCGTCGTAGAGCGGATCGTCTGGGGAGATGGTCACCCAGATTTCCGCCTGCGAGCAAAGTCTCAAGTGGCAAGATGACAGTTGGTGTGAAGTTTTACCTCGTCAAAGGGATTGTAAGAAAGAGCGAATCCATAGTCCACAGCCAGTGTAACATTTGGAAGCTGGCCATAGCTGATGAACACCTATACTTGAGATTAATTTCGGGACAACAGTGATGCAAAGTAATCTTACTTCATCACCAGTAGCGTAATCTCGATCTGCTATAACCTGAAAGATGCAAGGGTCAGTACATTGCTTTCAGAGAAAAAGGCGAAGGAACCATACTACGACGCAGTTTTTATCGGGGTCATGCGAAAGAATAGACTCGCACTTCCAGTCGTGATTGATGAGATCAACGTAAGGAACCTGGTAAAAAATTCCATGGATGAGAAAGTGAAACTCTATCGAATGAGATCACCATTCCCAGCTCGCAGATGTCCGTCACTCGCCAAGAGCGCGTCGCCACTGTAAAAAACTTGCTCGAGAAATCAAGAAGAAAAACATTTACTTACCTATCGAGTATGCGTGCTTGAAGGCATCGTAAGACGCAGTTTCTCCAAAGATATGGCGACAACGAGAGATTGCCTGCGAGAAAAAAATTAAAAATCCACAAATTTGAGTTAGCACCGAAAGAAGATGATCCATTTGTGATACAAACGCTCTGGACGTCCGAAAATTCCATATCCAGCCACCTCTCCCGTTGCGTAGTCTTGAAATAAACCGGACTGTGCCTCACACATTGAAGCTCTTCCTGCTTCCAAAACACCTGGAGCGCTACAAAACTAAGAACACGAGGGAGAAGAAAATGGTAGACTTAACTGTGTTGTTTAGTTCAACCAGCGAGGGAAGAATTCCCATGTAAGGATCCCAGGCTGAGTTCTACGATAGTTTCTTAGCTCTCGACTTTGCGATGAATGAAGAACACTAGTACCTGGCCTTTGTTCCACTGGGCGAGGATGAAAAGGGCCAGCCGCGACCATTCCGTGGCCTGCGCAGGCAAAAATCTCGCGACTTCGTCTTGTAGGCATCGAGAAGTGATCATCTGTCAAAGGAGGTAAGCAATGCACATATGTAGAACAAGCGAGCATCTTACAAGACTAGGTGGAACTTCCAGCATGCGCTCTCCAGCTCGAATTGGACGAGACGCAAACATTCCACTGCAAAGCATTGATCTTGCTATCAAATGGGGCAAAGAAAAACGAGTGAAAGATCGCGATGCTCTCACCGCCCGGAAGAACAAGCGCCAATCGAGAGCGCCGATTGCTGCGCATTGCTTAGGGCGCCTTGCGTCCTCAGCCACGAGAGGAAATGGCTCGTCTTCGAGCCAAGCGCCTTTGAATCGAGCATTCCTTGCTCAGACCCTCAGATCCTCCGTCATCCAGCGGCTCAAAACCACACACGTGGAACGATCTTACGGTCGGAATCCACCCTATCCAACGGCCGCAGGGTTTTAGATCCGACGGCTAGAGCTCCAGTGAAGGCATTAGGGTTTTACGATCTTTAGGGTTCTTGGAGGGCGGCCGCAAAATGGCGGAGAGGGGAGGAGGAGGAGGAGGCGAGCAGCGCGAGCGCGGTGGATTCGGCCGGGGCTTCGGCGGTCGCGGCAGGGATCGCGGCCGTGGCGACCGCGGCCGCGGCCGGCGCTCCAGGCGCGCGGACGAGGAGGAGAAATGGGTGCCGGTGACCAAGCTCGGCCGCCTCGTCAAGGACGGTAAGATTAGGAGCCTCGAGCAGATCTATCTCTTCTCCCTCCCCATCAAGGAGCACCAGATCGTCGAGTTCTTCCTCGGCAGCGCGCTCAAGGACGAGGTGATGAAGATCATGCCAGTGCAAAAGCAGACGCGCGCCGGGCAGAGGACGCGATTCAAGGCCTTTGTGGTGGTGGGCGACAACAATGGCCACGTTGGTCTGGGCGTCAAGTGCAGCAAGGAGGTGGCGACCGCGATCCGAGGCGCGATCATCCTCGCCAAGCTCGCGGTGATCCCAGTGAGGCGAGGCTACTGGGGAAACAAGATAGGCAAGCCACACACCGTCCCGTGCAAGGTCACTGGGAAATGCGGCTCGGTGACTGTCCGGATGGTGCCAGCGCCCCGAGGAGCTGGGATCGTTGCCGCTCGCGTCCCCAAAAAGGTGCTCCAGTTTGCCGGGATCGAGGACGTTTTCACCTCGTCGCGCGGATCGACCAAGACTCTGGGAAACTTCGTCAAGGTGAGGATTGATCTGATCGTTCTTCTTTCACTCTCGACGAGTTTTTCTTGGTTTTTGGCAGGCTACGTACGACTGTCTGTTGAAGACGTATGGGTTCCTCACCCCGGATCTGTGGAAGGAGACCCGGTTTACCAAGTCGCCGTTCCAGGAGTTCACGGACTACCTGTCCAAGCCTACCAAGTTGGTGATCGAGGACGTCGAGAAGGCCCCGGTGTACTGAGTAGTACTACTACTATTCCCTGTTTCATCTTTTTGGAGCTTGAATACCAAAGTTTTTGATTTGCTCAGTGATATCGAGTAAGATGATCTTCTAGACAAGCTGCCAGAAACGAAGAAAGAGAGAGAGATCAGAGTTTTAGATCGAGCTCATGTTCTTTCTTACATCGAGAACTGGAAAGCCTGGAGTTTTCTCGTAAGCGTTTGGGAGAAGTTGGATCATCCGGCGAGGGGATTCGAGTGCATGGTGACTCTGTTTAGCCTGATCTCCGCCAAGGGACGATCTCCAGCACCTGTTTGTGTCTGTAGCGAAGAAACTGTGAAGAACACTATCGATCGAAAGCAAGAAAAGCGTGTTAACCTTCTCCATGAGGTCGAGAACTTCGAAGCCATGGATGACTTTGCCAAAGACGGTGTAGAGGCCGTTTAAGTGGGGCTGCTTGGCATACGTGACGAAGAACTGGCTCCCATTCGTGTTTGGTCCGCTGTTGGCCATGGCAAGGATTCCTCTCGCGTTGTGCTGATACAGGAAAGAGAGTAAGAACAATCGCTCAGCTCAATCTTATCATCCAAGGAGAAGAAAGAAAGAAAGAAGAAAATTTTCTACCTTGAGAGACTCGCGAATCTCATCGTTAAACTTGCGACCCCAAATGCTGGTACCTCCGCGCCCAGTTCCAGTGGGATCGCCTCCTTGGATCATGAATCCTTTGATGTTGCGGTGGAAGATTGTGCCGTCGTAGTAGCCGCTCGCGCACAGCGCCAGGAAATTCTACACCTCCAACATGAAATTCTTTCAGTCTCTCTCGCGCTCTCTCTTCTAAGATTTTACCTCGGCTGTCTTTGGGACCTCGTCGCAGAAGATCTCGCACTTGATATCTCCCAGATTGGTGTGCAATGTGATCGACTACAATGAAACAAGAAGATTTCAGCTCCAATCGCAGCAGAGACTCTGCTCACCATCGTCTCCCTCCCAAGAACCCTAGACTTGGGTTTTAAGTTAATTCTTTACACAAAGCTTTAAAGACTATGTGGCTTTCTCTCGCAAATAGTTTTCCCACCCCATGGCTTCCAATCTCTCTGCCTTCTCCATCACCTTCCTTTCTAGCTCCTCTTTGTAGGATATCATCCTGGAAGAGAAGAAACGAGGTCGTTTTAATGGGTGAAACCATTGCAAACTCACTTGTCAAGCATTCTCGGGTCCCAAACTTGCAAGAACCTCGCAGCTAAAATCCCTGCGTTTGCTCCATTGTCCACTGCAACCCACGCAACCGGCTCTGGCTACGATCACACAAAGTGACAGTTGGTCGATGATTCTTTCAGCTGAACTGGTAACTTACTTGCACAGCGATTGGATGCTCGACTCCGTGCTTCAATGAGCCTTTGCTGGTTGGAACCCCGATCACTGGAAGTGGCGTGGCACCGGCAACAATGCCTGCGAAAACAACGAAAAGATAAGCATACGAGTAGAAGATCACCAGGGACTGACCAGGTAACTCGGAGTAACCGATCGATACGACGACGAGAACTTTGAGACCTTTCGCGTGAGCATTTTTCACATAGTTGCTGGATACTGCTACGATCTACACAAGAATAGAGTTAATGCTTCCATCAAATATAACAAAACGATTTTAGTACCTCACAAGGCACACCAAACAATTCCAGCGCTGCGGCAGCAGCCTTCTCGGGAGTTCCCGCGCAAGTCGTCAAGATTCCCACGACAGGAGGAGCAGCTGCGGAGTTACATTCGCTCGGTAGTCATTCGTAGAATTAATCACAGTACCAGATTCCTTTGCATTGTAGATGTCGCTGCCAACAAACGCTTCCAGCTTTTCCAGACACTGCGATCTCCTCTCTTCTCCTTGGTGTGCGATAACCCTGTACAAAAACAACGTTTGGAAAAACCAAGAGAACGGAAACACTTCGACGTACTTCGATTGGAGGTGTTCGTCGGAAGTACCCAGTATCCTCACGGCTAGAAGTCCTGCGTTCTCCGCATCATCGACGGCTACAGTAGCAACAGGAATTCCCGTTGGCATCTGTCGTGAAAAGAATTTCCTTCTCTTTCTGATTGCGAAAGCCAACTGTTTTACCTGAGCAATCGACAAGAAGGAATCCAGTCCTCTTAATGCCGTGACATCGACCGGAACACCGATAGCTGGGAGAGGCGTAATGCTGCCAACCATTCCTGAACCAAACCTCGAAAAGTCGATAGAGAAAACAGAAGAAAAAATTCTACAAAAAGAATTGACTAACCGGGAAGGTGCGCAGCACCACCAGCACCAGCGATAATCACGTTGAGATTGTCAAGGTGAGCATTCGATGCGTAGCTATACATTCGTTCCGCGGTCCTGTGAGCCGAGACAATCGTCATCTACGCACAAACAACTTAGCTAGAAAAACGGCATACTAATTCACATACCTGATACTTTACACCAAAACGATCAAGAAGTTTTCCGGCGTGTCTCATGGTAGAAAGATCTGAATCCGAACCCATGATAATTCCCACAGCCGGTTTTTCTAGCTTTGAGAAAACTATATATTAAGTGAGACAGGGAAACGAAAACATAAAACCGATCTTACCTGTCGGATGTTTGCATTCAGCTTCTGAACCATCCGTGATTTGACGCATTCGTTGTTTCACGATGGCCATCGATGGCCCCACAACTGTGACATGACCCATTTTTCGTTGTCTCCGAAACGCTACGCTCAGTGTGAAGCCCAAGTCGAACTACTCAATAATGATAGCAAACCTCGCTTGTGGTACCAATGTACACTAGCACCTGGAATGCTAAACGCCTTGTTCATTATCTTTTGTGCGATAGATGCACCGAGTTCACCCTGAATGCTCGCAAACAATGAGCTACAACACGAAGAAATAAGAACGTTACCTCTTCAGCCAAAATGTTATACATTCCTGCTGCTGAAACTTTCATGGAAGTGTCACCGAGTGGCAAGCCTAGGACAGCACGAAGGTGCTGTTCAAACTGCGAAACGTAGCATGCTTCGATAGTAAGATGGCCACTGTTATGCGGTCGTGGTGCAACCTCATTCAGCAAAATCTACAAGAAAAGATAGAAACAATCAAGAGAAAAAAACGTATACCAGATTATCAGAAGCCAAAAACTGCTCGACGCAAAAAACTCCAGCGCCACCAAATGAGGCTACAGCTTTTGCTGCTATGTCCAGTGCTGTCTTCTCGGCAGCTTTCGGAATCAGGGCCGGTGCTAGCACTGTATGGCAGATGCTCCTCCTGGACAAATCAGAGAAGTTCTGAATACAAAGGAAAACGAGTAAGCTAGCCTTGCCTTTGAGTAGTCTCTACCAGTTGATAGCACCGTGTTGTTCCATCTATGCCACGGGCAACCATCACTGCTAGTTCCTAAAAGAATGAATCAAGCAGGTGCAAACGCAGAAAAACTACAAACCTTCTCAAAAGACACCCACTTCTCCGCAAACAGACCTTGCTCAAAACCTCCCAATGCTGTGGTGACAAGAGAAGAACCACTTAGCGAGCATTGAACACGGAAGGGCTATCTTACCTTTCACAGACGGAAGCAAGTCACTTTTGCTTCTCACTGCGATGTTCCCGCGGCCATCGTAAGCAAACCGGCGGCATTTTAGCATGAACGGGTATCCCAGAACAGAAGCTGCATCCTCCAAGCTTTCTAAGCCAGTAACCTGTGAACTAATGTCGATCAAACATTTCAAAACTGTAGAGCTCTAGACAAACCTCCACGAACTCAGGAACTGGAACACCATACTTTCTAAAATGCAGCTTCTGACGATACTTGTCCTGCAAGAAGGAAACAACGATTATCTACATTTGCTCGGAAACTGCTAACCTGAATCGTCTTAATAGTACTCGAGCTCGGTTCCACGCGAACTCCCTGCTTTTCAAGCTCGTCAAGTGTTCCCGCATCAACATGCTCTATCTCCATAGTCACGACATCACACCTGAAATGACGAAACGAAGTTTAGCAACGAAAGAACAAGAAAAGCTGGTATACGCTTTGGCGAACTCCAAAACAGCATATCTATCGTCAAACTCCGCAACAACATGACGGTGAGCAAGAGCACTGGCAGGACAAATCGCCGAAGGGTCCAGAACCGCGACTTTGACACCCATCGCCGAGCCAGCTTCGCACAGCATTCGGCCCAATTGCCCTCCTCCCAGGACTCCCACCACAGCATCGTCTAGCCAAAACCTCCTGCCAGAGCAAATTCTTCTTCTAGAACGAAAGAAAGACTAAGAGGATTTACCCCGATGGAAGCTGCTGCTGCTGTAAAGCCGCTTGGTTCAGCGCTCTCGCAAAGGAGATCCGAGCGGCAGTGCTCGCCTCGCCGATCCGGAGACGGCATTGGTTTGCAAAGCATCGAGAATGCGGCGGCACGGCTGACGCTGCCATGAGCTAGAACCCTAATTTCACTTCGAGGGTTTTAGGGAACCGTTAACTTCGGCTTGAGGGAGGAGTGGACACACAAAACGAGGAAACTAACTGATACAATGACTGCTCTCCCTATCAAAGCTATCACTCCGGCACGAACAGATCGGTGACTACGACGAGGAGTGGGCGATCGAAGCCGAGACCGCCTTCTCCTTCCTGGCATCGCTTGTGCTCGACGGTGCTCGACTTGGGCACGATGATGCGTAGAATTCCCTTCCAGGCCTGCGCGGTGACGCCCTCGGTGCATGCATTGCGCGGGAGAGCAAAGCGGAGCTCGAAGAGCCAGTTGAGAGCCCAGTCGGGGAGTTCGAGCGCTCGGGGGACCGCGGCGCTGTAGCGAGCTCGGACGCTGATAAAGCCGTGCTGCACCACGACCTCGAGCTCCTCCTTCTCGAACCCGCCCGCGACGGCGCGGATTTGCACGGCCTCTGCCTCGCGGAAGTACTGCCGCACGAACAGATTCTTGCGGGGGCGCAGCTCGCCGGTGAGATCGATCACCATCCAGTTCACCCAATCGCCGTTCCCGTCGTCGTCGTCGCCAACTGCGCGCACAGATCGAGCAGGATCGAGCAAAGGATTAGCGGAGGAGGAAGAAACAAAGAAGAAAGAGATAGAGACAAGGGAAGTCGATCGGATCGGCGAGTGCGGATGGAGGAACTAGAGCTCCTCGCGAGCCGCTGCGCTTGATCTTGATTCTCGGACTGAGCTCCTCCTTGCGCACCGCTGGCGCCTTGACAAAGCCAGCGCCTTTGGCTGCCGCGGTGGTCGCCGCCATCGCCATCGCAGAGACGCCGCGAAAAACACCGGCATTCCCCAGCAAACGATCCATCCCACCTCGCCAGAAACATGGAACGATGGATGCTTAAATACGTACTACTGGCGATACGGTCGTGAAGCGAGACACGCTAGCATATTCCGTTCCGTCAGTGGTGCTATTGTATATTCTACTAGATAAATAAAACTTTGCAAAACGTCGTTTGTAAAGAATTTAAGATGAACCTTCATCCCCCAAGCTTTCCAAGCCAGTAACCTGAGAACTATCGTGAGCGATTCAACATATCAAAACTGTAGAATTCTAGACAAGCCTCCACGAACTCAAGAACTGGAATACTGGAATGCAGCTTCTGACGATTTTGTCCTGGAAGAAGGAGACGAAGATGAGAACCGCTAATCTGAATTGTCTTAATTGTACTCGAGCTCGGTAACTCCCTGCTTTTCAAGCTCGCCAAGTATTTCCGCATCAACATACTAACATAGGTTTAAGATTTTGCTTCCAGAAGTTCTCGACGGCGCGAACCTCAAAAGTCAGCTTTATATTCAGAAAAAATCACTCAAACACGAGACCTTGTAGCCGCTCTTTTTTTGCAAAGCTTTGGTGGAATGACTCATGCTGTAGATGTAGAGCGGCTGCTTGCTCGAAAATCCTCGCTTCCAAAGCAAAAAGACGTCAGAAACTCTTACACTATGGTAGAACCGCGGCCAGATTTCTCCAGGGCGAGAGAGGAATCTCGATCGAGGAGGAAACGAGGAAGAACGAAGAAGAAGGGGAGGGTGGCAATTCTTCTTTCTTCTTGAGATAGGGTTTAGGGCTTCTTGTCATGGGAGGACTGCCCGTTTAGAAGACCGCAGCACACTGGAGGTGGTGAACCACGTGTTCGCGGGCTCGGATCCCGAAGAAAAGCAAAGAATTGTGGAGCTGCTGCATTGTGTCGGTGTCCGTTTTGGCAGGGACATTGCTCGCCGCCTTGACGAGCCAGAGGAAGTGCGCAAGTTACTTGGACGCCCTCTTTCGAGCTCCATCGCCAAGCCGCTGATAGCTCACAAGCTGCTCAATCAATGTAAGTAGTATTCTATGGTTCCACTAATAACTGCCTAATATCTTACTTGTCCCCTTGGCGGTGTCGCCTATGCGTAGGTGCGCTTTATCTTGATCACAAAGAGGACAGGCAATCTAAGCTCGCTGATTAGACACATGTTCAAGCGAGTTACGGTTCCCAAGCACATCTACAAGCCCTTGTTACTGCCGCTGATAGATGGAGTGGACCAAACCTTTGATAATTCAGATGATGCTTACGATGCATACGAAGCCATGGTAGCAACATCTTGGCACTGCTGTGACATTCGACAAGGTCGGACGAACCATGTGACAACGATTCCGAAGTCTTCCGCTTTTGTTCCCAAGAAGGCAAGCTGATGAGAGCCGGCCCTGAGAACACTAGTGATACTTCCTGCGTCGGGGCGCTCATGTACGATATGGACGAGGTTTTCAGCTAGGACGCAATCGGAAGCTTTGCGATCGGCGTGGTTCTGATCCAGGATTTCATCTGGGTGTTCAAGTTCATTCCGGAGAGCTTTGATCCCGTGGCATGTCTCTACGTGTTGCTCCGCGAGGGTGGACTTGGACTGAAGATGCTCACCAAGCTCATGTGCGCCCAGCCGGTTCTACTTGGTGTTCTCTGAACCTTCCTCTTGTTCCTTGCTTGATGTTTCCGAAGCAACAAAACATATGGAGTTTTATAGTTAGTCCATTTAAATTGGTTAAGGTGTTTTGGATTTATCCTCAACTAAAGATATATTACATTTGTCAACTGATTTTCGTCAACTTTCATTTCTTGGATTATATAAAGGCCTTCCACAAAGAAATTCTCTTCTAGATATCATTGTGATTGTTTTTGCTTGTACTTTTGTAAGTGTGCATTTAGATAGAACATGGAATACTTTGCTGCTAATTGCTAAATACCATGCCAAATGCCAAAACATTAACCACACTGAAGAGAACACAAGCAACTCAAGTGTTTATACTTTGCATCATGAGTCATAGTGATTGATTTTCTTATTTTTTCTCCATCTTCTTGTTCTCAAATGCAAAAGAGGATTTTCATTTGTCCTATTTTGGCTGGTTTGATAGATCGAATGAGGTTTCCGTCCAGCAAGCGATTTGGTAGGCGCCGAATATTTGGATTTGGCACGCAACTTATTTTTGTCAGCCCGTTGGAACAAGCGCAGATAGATGCCGATTTGAAATTCCATTTTGTCATGGATCATGGTCGCCTCGGCTCACATAATGGTGTTTTGTGTTTCGGCCCGTTCTTCCTGCTTCTTCAAGTAGGTATTGGATAAGTGTGGTTTCATTCACTGTTCCTCACATCGATTGGCGCAAGGCTCAAAAATATGCTCAATGCATTCTCTTGGAAAAAGAAGGCCGTGTGCCTTGGTGACGTCGTGGGAGTCCTTGAGATAGATAAGGGTAACATTCCATTCTCAAATAAAATTAAACTTAGATTCAACTTATTCTTTGAGATTTGTAGGGCGGGCCTTCCAGAAATTCTCGACGGCCTCCCAAAGGAGACACGAAGAGGGGGTTTGGAAATAGTTTTCAACCAGCAATTGACGCGTCTCGGTAAAACCTCATAAACTGCGTCATTGCCCCAAGCGCAAAGATAAATTAAACCTCCATCCTAGCTTGGTTTATATACCCGCGGAGTGGCACGATTTCAGTCCTTGGCTCGTGGAATAGGGCTGGCTGGCGCAGCATATTCCTAGAAGTCAAGGTCAACGAGAATATGCATTGCTGGCCAGAAAGCTGGAAGCACGAGACCTTTGTAGCCGCTCTTTTTTTCTGCTGTTATGTGGAAACCAGGAGACTTATCTCCATTTTGTTCTGCAAGCAGCTGATGACAGTCCGAACGGGACTGACCGACACCGAGAGAACAAATCATGGGCTTCTCCCAAAATTCTTGGCGCATGAATGCACTTTTCATGATTCTACTGTTTGTCATTTTATATCAACTCTATAGTTAATATAAACCTTCATTTATAAACCCCTTGCACAAGAATTGTTATGGAATTGTGATTGGTTTTGCTTGTACTTCTACAAAGACATACTCTTACAGCACTATAGCCTTTCGAAATTGCCTTGGAACATTTCATACTGGACTATAGAAGAGTTTTCTAGGTTTGCATCTTTCTTTCTTTCTTTCTTCTTGTTACTAATTGAAAATTGTATAGTGCTCGAGTCGGACCAGATCTTATGAGTGCTCTCAAGAAGCAATATTCCCCATGTAACCCATAAAATGGTCTGGGCATATGCCACGTGACAGTCGTGGCCACATGCTCAAAATATATCTGAATCGTGTCATAACAAAAAGGAGAAAAAAAATTTGAAGACAAAACAATGGAATTTATAGGGCTATAAAAGTAAAAGATAAACCTCTATTACTTTAAAGAAAGAAAAGTTTAACACAATTCTTTCTAACAAAAAGTCAAGGCTCTAAAAGTTAATTAAAAGCAAAGGGATCTGTAGACTTTTGGCCTCTGCAGAAAGAAAATTTTGGTTAGAACTTCACTGACCACATTTATTTTTTCTAGTGACTCCAAGTGCACATATGCATTGCCATTGCCAAGACACCTTTGGGGCAAGATAGAGAACCTAACAGGACATGAATGAAGAGTGCGATTTTAGAAGGATCAAGACGCTGCAATTGCCAAGGAAGTAGGGGAGGGGCAGGTGATCGGGGGGAGGGGATACTGACTACTACCACCCAGGGTTTAGGGGTGCAGAAACACAAGTAACTCCGAGTGTCTATACTTTGCTTCATGAGTTCAAGCACAGTGATTGTTTTTCTTATTTCTTTCTTCATCTTCTCATTCTCAAATGCACAAGAGGACTCATCTGTGCTTTTGAGCTTCAAAAACTCCGTGGAAGATCCATCTAAAACTTTATCCAGCTGGAATATAAGTGATAACTTCTGCCAGCACTGGAATGGCGTAGCCTGCACGACAAAAGGCCGAGTTTCCGTTCTTGAGCTTGAGCATTTAACGTTACCGGGCTCGCTCTTGGTTTCCACAATCAATGCTCTACCTTTCTTACTGGAGCTATCTGTCTTGGGAAGCAACTTCACTGATGCCATGAATTCCTCTGAACATGCCTGCTCACTTGAGATGATCAAGCTGTCAAGTAACCAAAACATGACCTTCACGAGCAGTTTTGATGCTATGCTCAGCTGCCAAGGTCTAAAGGTTCTCAATCTTTCAAACAATCAAATTGATGGTAAGATAGAAGTGCCAATAGGCAATGCTTTGGAGGTAATAGATGTTTCACATAACTTACTTAGTGGTGAGGTGCCCCTCTTCCTGTCTTCACAGTGCAGGAGGTTGAGATATCTAGACCTCTCCCACAATCATCTCACCGGAGAACTTCCAGTGGATCTTCTTAAAAATTGTACTAATCTGCAGCAAATCTCTCTGGCCTACAACAGCTTCCATGGCCCGTCATTTCCCTCTATTCACTCCTTGCCATCGCTGGAATTTCTCGATGCTAGCTTCAATAACTTCACAGGTCCAGTTCCCGCAATTCATGAGAACCTCAAGCATCTTAATCTCAGCTCAAACAGTTTCAATACAACCAGGGAAAACTTATGTCCATCGCTCAACTCCTCGAGGCTGGAGAGTCTGATCCTGGTCAACAACAAGCTCACCGGAAGGGTATTGGACAGTGTCTTGAATTGCTCCAGCCTTAAGATGTTGGATTTGAGCTTCAACTTGTTAGCAGGAGAAATTCCAAGCACTATCTGCAAACAACTTCCCAAGCTCGAGCATTTCCTTGCGTGGGTAAACAACCTCGAAGGGCAACTTCCCCCAAACTTGGCCTCATGCAGCAACCTCACCAAGATCATCCTCACTTTCAACAATCTCAGTGGAAACATTCCACCTGAGCTGTTATCCAACACAAAGAGCCTCCAATGGTTAAGTTTGAGTAATAACAGATTGAGTGGAGAGTTTCCTGATTCATTGGAGCATGCAAATGAGCTGTTAGTGCTTCAGTTGAGCAACAACAGCCTGCAGGGCAAGCTGCCCAGCAACATGACCGTCCAGACGATAAATCTCCGCGGAAACAGCTTGAGCGGGAGGATTCCAGCCTCTTTGAATGGTTTCGAAGGCAGCAAACTTGCCAAGCCCAACGTTGCGGGGACGAGCTTGAAGATAGCCTCAGGGATCAAGACATGTGGGTGCATGGACAGCATTTTCATGCTACAAGGAATCTATTTGGAAGAAATGGGGAGTCTACTCACAGCCAAGAGTGGTGGCTGCAAATGCTCCATAAGTTTCCTTCCAGCAAGCTTTTATGGTTTCTCCACCTCCAGTCCTTCCTTCATCGATGTTTCATTCAACAAATTGGTGGGAGGCATCCCTCGCGAGCTTGGGAGCATGCAGGACGCCACTTACATCAGCCTTGCGCACAACTTCCTGTCGGGAACAATCCCAGAGGAGCTCGGGGATCTCAAGAACATGATAGGAATGGATTTGTCATTCAATGGTCTCCAAGGAAGCATTCCAGGCTCGTTTTCCTCGCTCCAGTCCCTCACAGGGTTGAATGTGTCTCACAACAACTTGTCCGGTCCGATTCCACAGGGTGGCCAGCTTGCGACACTTGATGCCAGTAGCTACGCAGGAAATGCCGGTCTTTGTGGCTTCCCTCTAGCGTCGTGCACCACATCGCCACCAACAGCGACAAATCGTGCTGACCATGGCTATGGTGGATTTGGACCGGTTCTTGCGGTGAGCTTTGCAATTGGGGTGGTGGTCTCAGTTATCTGCTGCACAATGGTAGTCACCATTGATAGTAAAAAACGCTTTGTGGAGAGAGCTTGCTATGGATGATCGACACACCAAAAAGAAAAAAATGCCCAGCCACGCTTAGTCAAAGCTTTTTTTCAAAGTCCACCCCGATCAAGCTACTTTTGTGATCATGTGTACGTTACTTTATTATTCAACTTAGATTTAGGATTTGTAGGCCCGAGCCTAGGGCGGGCCTTCCAGAAATTCTCGACGGCCTCCCGAAGGAGACACGAAGAGGGGGTTTGGAAATAGTTTTCAACCAGCAATTGACGCGTCTCGGTAAAACCTCATAAACTGCGTCATTGCCCCAAGCGCAAAGATAAATTAAACCCTCATCTTAGCTCGACTTATATACCCGAGGAGTGGCACGATTTCAGTCCTTGGCTCGTGGGATAGGGCTGGCTGGCGCAGCATATTCCTAGAACTGATTGTCCCTAAAAGTTAAAAAATATGCATTTATTCACTCGCTCATGCTTCATGGGCTAGAGTTTTCTCGGGGAGGATCTCCTGGAAAAATTTCTCGAGCTGCTCGTGGTAGAGCGCCGGAAAGCTCCGCAAATGATCTACGTGAGGAGATATCCGCATGTCGAAGCACGAGACCTTGTAGCCGCTCTTTTTCTGCAAATCCATGAACTCTTCCACGTAGCTCGCTGGGATGACTCGGTCGGCACTGCTGTAGATGTAGAGCTGCGGGCATCGCGGCTGCTTGCTCGACAAAATGGAGATGATTCTTGCAAGTCTCCTGGTTTCCACAACAGAAAAGGAGAGCCGAGATGTTAGAAACTAGCGCCGCAGGAAAAGATCTAGCGAGGAAAGAGCACCTCTTACAGTTTGACAGCGGGAACCGCGAGTAGAACCGCGAAGAACTTCTCCAGGACTGCCAGGAGTAGAGTCTCGGACGCGCTCGGCTGCGCAAGGATTGCTCGCTCGGCGTCGGTCAGTCCCGCCAGCGACTGCGTCGAGAAGCTTTGCTTCTTGAGAAATGCTGTTGCGAACCCCGAGGCCCAGACCTTGTCAAAGCGTATCAGCTGGATGTAAGAACACGACCAGGATCACGTAAAACTTCGTCGGCTTACCTGGGGACTGAGCTCGGCAGCAGGCCCCGAATCTACAACGCATCCTTTTATTCTGCTCGTGAGGTGCTGCTGCCCTTGCTGCTGGAGTTTCTCGAGTAGAGCTCCATAGCTGTGAAGAAGGAGTCAAATCAACACCATTGCTTTGACAACTAGGAAAAATAAGAAGACCACTCTAGAAAAACCATTAAAAATAAAAAATAAAATAAAAACCTGACTGCTAGAGAAAACTTACTCTGTTGGGAACTTACAAGAACCAGCCGGTGTTGCTAAAGGTGTGGAACAGCACCGATTTTTCGTTTCTTCCACCGCTCGCTAGCCACTGCTTGATTTCCGCGTAGAGCAAATCGACATGCCTGTCGGCCTTCCCAATGACGCCGAGGCTCAGCAAATCCGGCATTGGCATCACGAAAGTCATAGCACTGATCCCTCTCGAGTTATACCACTCGGCATATTTCTTCAAGTGCTTGTGTTGAGCACCCAGCCATCCCAGGAGCACTACCACCAGATCTCCCTCTCCATCTCCAAGCCAAGAATCTCCATCGCGGGCATTTTTCCTGTCCGAGACCCCGTGCATGACGATGCTTTGCTTCGCGGGATCCGGAGACACGCGATCTGTGACAAACGGGAGCTGGAATTTGATCCGCGCCGGCCAGAAGACATGGAAATGCGCCCGTTGCGAGCTGGAGCACGAGATTATAGGCCGCCTTTGACGACGCGGAGGAGCTACACGAGCCACACTGGCGACACTGGATCTCGTGGAACGCGCATTCTTGCCTGTGATGCGGCCCGCAGCAGGACGCGCCAGGGAGTGAAGATTCATGGCGGAGACCGGCCGATCGTGCCCTCCCCGTGGCAGAAGCCCTAAACCCTGTTTTAGGGTTCTTCGTTTAACATCCTTTTAGGGTTCTTCGCTAACATCAAGAGACATAAAAAGAATCCTTTGCACATTATTGTGTGAGGCAACCAAACCCATCACCGAGGAAGAAGAAAGAAGAATCGTCACAGCCCAGCCAGCATTGTCCTGTGACGCCCCATATCTCTACAAACCCCTGCCCCTCTTCTTCTTCGTTCTTCCTCGTTTCTTCCTCTATAGACCCGCCCAATTCCGCGGATCAAGAGAAATCGTAAACCTCTGGAATCGCCACCGGGAACTGGTCGATGCAATCCGCCCAGGGCCCCTTCTCGCTCGCCTTGATCGTCCGCAGCGCCCGCCACACGGCGCTGTTACACTTGAACCCGCTCCCAAACGCGATCTGCCACACGCGGTTCCCCTTCCTCATCCTCCCCTTGGCCTCGATGTACGCGAGCTCGTACCAGATCGAGGAGCTGGACGTGTTCCCGAATCGGTACAGCGTCATCCGCGACGCCTCGACGTGCTCCGCGGTGAGCTGCAAGTTCTTCTCCAGCTCGTCGATCACCGCGCGGCCGCCCGCGTGGATGCAAAAGTGGTGGAACGCCAGCCGAAAGTCCGGGATGTATGGCTTCACCGCGCGCTTGAACACCTTCCGCGCCACCAGGAAGCTGAAGAAGATGATCTGCTCGGACAGTGGCAGCACCAGCGGCCCCATGGTCGTGATGTTGGTCTTGAGCGCCTGCCCGGCGATGGCCATGAGATCTTTGGAGAGCGACACGCCCATCTTGGAGTTCTCGTCCTCCTCCTGGTAGACGCAGCGAAACGACTTGTCGTCGGCGCCCTTGTGCGTCCGCACGGTGTGGAGGAGCTCGTACTTGGCGCGGCGGCGGTCGGATCGTCGGTTGCTGAGCAGCATCGCGGCGCCGCCGACGCGGAAGAGGCAATTCGGGATGAGCATGGAGCGGCGGTTGCCGAAGTACCAGTTCTGGGTGATGTTCTCGGTGCTCACCACGATGGCGTAGTCGTTGCCGTGGACCTGGAGCATGTCCTTGGCGAGGTCGATGGCGATCACTCCCGCGCTGCAGCCCATCCCTCCCAGGTTGTAAGAGCGGATGTTGCCGCGCATCTTGTACTTGTTGACGATCATCGCCGAGAGCGATGGCGTGGGGTTGAAGAGGCTGCAGTTGACGACCAGGATCCCGACGTCCTTGGGCTTGACGCCCGTCTTGTGGAAGAGCTCGTCCAGCGCGCTAAACATGACGGTCTCGGCCTCCTGGCGCGCCGCATCCATGGATGGTCGCGGCGGGAGGTAGTGCATCGCGGGCGGGAGCGCGGTCTGCTCGCCCAGCCCGGAGCGCTCCAGGATCCGGCGCTGGAACTCGAGGCTCTTGTCGTCGAAGCTCCCCGAGAGCTTGGAGTGCTCCATGAAGGAGGCGAAGGGGACGCGGATGTTGGGCGATGGCTTGTGGCACGCGTAGTCGACGAGGAAGACGCTGCGCGGGCGGGACATGAAGTAGACGGTGGCGGCGAAGACGAGCAGCGCGGAGCACGTCATGACGCTGACGAGGTTGAATTTGAGGTGGATCCAGAGCTGGTGGATGTCCTCGGGGCCCAGGCGGCCGACCTCGATCGCTACCCCGAGCATCAGCGGGACGAGCGTGAGCGTGATGAGATGCGTCACCAGGTAGTGGTAGCCGAGCTTGACGTACTTGAGGTTGACGCTCTGGAGGAAATCCGGGAGCGGCAGCCGCCGTGATCCTCTGGACCCGCTGCTCCTCCGCAGCAGCCTCCCGCCTCCATCGCCAATTCCGATTCCTGAGGAGGCGCTAGCAGTGGCAGCGGCGCTGGGTCTCTCCTCGGCCATCGTTGGGATTGTTTCGCGAGCTCCTGTGATGCTCTGATCGACAAAAGCAGCGAACTTCTTGTTCTTGGATGAGATTTTTTAGGGTTCTTGGGAGTGAGGGAGGAGAGAGGCGTGGGTGGCGATGGCGATGGCGATGGCGCGACGCATTTAAGGCAAAGCGAGGCCGGATCAGTAGTGCAGTTAAAGGGGCATTCAATGGCAACACCAACCTCCACTTTCGGTGAAGAGAGACAGGGCAAAACACACGAAAGAGTTTGGTGCTTTTGTTTTTCTTTCTTGCGCGCTCCCTCGCTCGCTGGAGAGGAGGATTGGGGAGGAATCTCGTTTTCTAGCTGGGATTAGGAGGATGTGTTTGGGATGCTCTCGAGTTCCTAGTGAAGTGAAAAAGGTGGTACATTGGTGGTAATAAGTCGCTCCTTCATTGACTTGGCCGCTCCTCATTTATATCGGGTCTCTTGCGTACAGAGAGGATGGAGAGAAGAAGAGAGCAGCGCAGCAGCCATGCCAGCCAGCAGCAACAGGGGAGCAGCCGATTGGTGTGAATTTGATTCAAGTCGGTTGAATTTACAACCCTCTGGCAGGATTCAATCGTGTTCTTCAATGTCGCTCATGGAGCAAATGCCACCGGTCAAGCATTTGCCCCGCCGCTAGATTCCTCGTGAACAAAGTCAAACCGAGAACCTTCATGGTCAGTCCCAAGTCAGTCAACCCATCAGTCAACGCGGTCACCGATTGCTTCGATACGACGTCAGTCAACACGAAAGTACACATGCTGACTGTAGTGTACATCTGGACTCTGGACGCTACGTCGGCGGCAAAATGGCTGACACGTATCACTTCCAAGTCACAAGTCAACCATCAGTCAACGCACAATGACCCGCATTGGATAATATCCAGTCAACATGCTGACTGTAGTGTACATCTGGACGCCACGTAATCGAGCACGTGTCACTTCCTCAGGTTCCAGTGGAGCCGCTCGCGCACGCTACACAGGAAGTGGTGCGTTGCCTCTTCCAGGGACGCTGTTGGGACGGGCCAGGGGGCCATTTGGCATATAAGCTGGTCGCCCGGGGAGAGCTCCACTCGGTCCTTGCCATCAAACGAAGCCCAGGCGTTTTGGAGCGGGACCTGGACTTTGAGCGTCACGTAGCCGGGAAGGATGAGAGGCCTGAAGGACAGCGAATGCGGGCATATCGGCGTGAAGAGAATTGCTGGAACCTGAAAGACAAGTCGTTTCGATCCAGAAAAACAAAGAAAAAAGAGGTTTTTGCAAAGCTTACGTGAGGATGGACCATCGAGCCTCCGGCCGCGAGAGAGTACGCCGTGCTGCCCGACGTTGTGGAGAGGATGAGGCCGTCCCCTTGCACCGAGGTGAGGAAGACGTTGTCACAGTAGCACTCGAGGTTCGTGAGGCACGACGACATGCCCCGGTCGATGGAGACTTCGTTGAGAACCAGGTGCATCTCCGACGCCGAGCTCTCCCCGTTCCTTACAATCTGGCACTGCATGCGGTGCCGCAGCGTGATGCAAACCGGGCCCTTCATCACGTACTCGAGGCATTCCTTGTAGCGCTCGCTTTCTGTGAGTTTAGTTAAGTCGAGCAAAAAGAAGATAAAACTTGGAAGGATACGGAATGCCGTCATGAATCCCAAGGAGCCCATTGAAAACGAAACCATGGGAGGGACGGGTCCTTTGAACAGCGACGCAGCCTGCAAAAGAAGCATAAGTCCGCCAATAAAAAAGCGCTGGTTGTGCTTACCCAGAGTACAGTGCCATCTCCACCCAGAGTGATAACAAGGTCGACTTTGGTGTGTAAGAACAATAACTCTTCTTCTGCAAAAAGCAGACGGCACAGTGAAGAAAATGCTTCGCTGCAAAGCTTTCAGCCTACCAGAATCCCATGTTTGTACATAAGTGCAGTCCGAGCTTTCGTCAAGCTCATCCTTCACGCGCTGCTCAACGAACACAGTGATATTTTTCACCTCCTTCAGCCACCTGAAGGCTAGTTTTACATCACGAACAAAAAAAAAAAAAAATTATTTTCCAGGTACCTGATCATTTTCTTGCACAGCTCTTGCACAGCAGAAGAATTTGGTCGGGTAAAAATACAGACCGCTCGCGGTGTGGATTCCCAAACAAGTATAATCTGCAATGTAGAGAAACCAAGGCATCAGATTCCAAAAACGATAGTCTCAATTGCAATCAACCTGTTTGTTGCTACTGGTAACGGCACTAATGTTCCCAGAATCGTAGGACACAATGTCATGCTTGTGCCTTCTATGCCTGTCACCATTATAACTCCATAGCAATTTGAAGGAAGCCTGGAGTCGAAACAATGTAAAACTTTTTCTTTTCCGAAAAACTGCGTACCTTGTGGCTTGGATGTTGAACAAGAAATTTACAAGACCCGTTTTCTTCCTCTAAAACATCATGTTGCGGTGTTTCAAGCTCAGAGCCTTTGACTTCCCGGTTCTCGACACCTGAGAACTTCCATTAGCAACGAGCCAAGAAATTTAATTTAAAGCGTACAAGTACCTGGAAGATCTTTTTCCTGTAGAAGACTCTCATATTTTCTTTTCCACTCGGCCGCCTCCAATTGAAGCTGAACGTTACGCTCGGCAACTCTTTTCATCGCATTCGACACAGCTGTTCAAACAGAAAACGAGAGAAAAGATGTCAGCAGTTCTCACGAAATTCAAGGAGATCTCACGCACTCTGCAAACTGTTGCTAAAGTCGAAAATTTGACGACTGGCGTCCATGGCGGATTTCTCCGAGCGCGCAAACGTTTGCCATCCCTCGATGCCAAATCTGAGATTTTCCTGCTCCATCCGCGACAGGCTCGCCGACGAATCCTCCCTCCCCAGCGAGCACTGCCAAAAATCGAGAATGCAAGTTAGAACAATGCCGAGCACTGGAAAAGGAAAAGGGAAATCACGAGCGCAAACCTGAGTGATCAGCTGGCAGCATGGCGCCAGAGGCCCGGCATCCGGGGCGCCGGACGCGCCTTGCGCCATGAAAAACCTAATCGCCACAACGCGAACACGCAGCACGAGCCCGCTTTCACCATCCACACAACACACACACTCAAAGCGTCTCCCGCGAATATCCTCTTCTTACACGTCTCGGTTCGAATCCACCTGTCAGCAGCCCAGGTTCAAATCTCCTTACAAGCAAAATTCCTCTAGGTCGTTGAGAATATTCTCCGTCTCCCTCCTCCAGAGCCCAGCGCCCGCGCAGGCGCCCTTGACGAGCACCGGCGTCGCCAGATGCCCGAGCTCCAGCGCACGCGCCGCGCAGGACGCCGCGCGGCGCACATCGCCGTGGATCTTGCAGGAATTGAGGAATGTGATCCAGGTGAGGGCGTCGGGCTCCCAGGGCATGAGATCCATCACCTCCTCGGCGCGGGGGAGCTGCCCGACTCGCCCGAACAGATCCACCAGGCACCGATAGTGCTGTGCCTCCGGATCAATGCCGCGATCGCGCCACATTGACGCGAAGAACTCGCAGCCCTCGTCCACGAGCCCGCCCTGGCTGCACGCCGTGAGGAGATTGACGAATGTGACGCCATTGGGGCTCACGCCGTGGAGATCCATCGCCCGCGACAGTGCCGCCGCCTCGCCGCGGTGCCCGCTCTGGGCATTTGCCGCCACCATCGCCGTCCATGACACCACATTGCGCTCCGGGAGAGAATCGAACACCCGACGTGCGTCCCCGACGCTCCCGTATTTCCCGTACGCGGAGATGAGGGAGTTACCGACCGTACAGTCGCCCGCGAGGTCGCAGTCGCGGGCGCAAGCGTGGCACAGCCGCGCCTCTGCCGCGTTGCGACACGCGTCCAGTACGGCGCAGAAGGTGCCGCGGTTTGGCCGAAGCCCCTGGGCGTCCATTGTACGGAAGAGGAGCATCGCCCGCGACAGCTCCCCATTCAGGGCATATGCGCCGATCATGGAGTTAACTGTGACAAGGTCGCGCGACGGCATATTCCTGTACGTTTGCTCAGCGTCTTCCACGCTCCCGGCGCGTCCGTACGCGTCGATCATGGCGTTCCAGGAGAAGAGATTCGAGACGGGCATCTTTCGCAGGAGCTCCTTTCCCTCGAGAATATGCCCGTTCTGGGCATATGCTACAAGCATCGCGGTCCACGATACCACGTCCCTTTCCTTCATGGAATCGAATACCATCTTGGCCCGCGGAATTTCACTGCATCTGGTGTACATTCCGAGGATTCCGGTGGCGATCCGGACGTCCGATTGGAACCCACATTCCGCGACCTTGGAATGCAACTCCCGTGCCAGGCCGGGGCAATCGATGCACGACAGAATGCCCACGAATGTCACGCTGGACGGCTTGTGGCCGTCCGATTCCATGAGCCTTAGAACGCCCACGGCGTCGTGGGACCGCCCAGCCCTGGCGTAGAACGCGATCATCGCGTTCCAGGCGACGTGATCGCGCTCCCCGCGCATCTCATCGAAGATCCGCCGCGCCTCGTCGAGTTGTCCGTTCTGGGCGAGGGCGACGAGCATGAGATTGGAGGAGAAGAGATTGGGCACCGGGATCGCGCGGAACGCCCGCCGCGCATCGTCCACGCTGCCACACTTGCCATACATCTGGACGAGGAGATTGGCGAGGAATGTGTTCCTGTCCAGCCCGATTCGAGCCAGGTGATCGTGGAGCCACTTCCCCTCGTCCAGCGCGCCCAGCTCCCCACATCGCCGCAGGAGCGTGGCGTACGCCTCCGGATCGAGCGCAGAGCCAGCGAGATTCTCCCTGCTGAACGCGCCCCTCAAGACGATCGAGCTCTCGGCGGCGAGGATCCCCCTTCTCGCCGCGCTCATCCACCAAGACCCAGATTTCGAATCCAAAGAGCCCGCGAGAATCCAACGGCCGAGAGCGCAGTAAGCCCTAGCATTTAAATCCGGCCGATCGTGGACGTTGAAGCGTCAACGGCTAGGATGCGCTGGGCATGGCGGTGTTTCCCAGGCTCATGTGAAGGGCGCGCCCTGGCGGCAGGGCAGGCTGGGCATTTGCATCGATCGCTGGGCGGCAGAGTGTAGCATAGCTAGGGCGCGAGGTTTTTAGGTCTGGGCGATCCAGGGGGCGTCGGCGAGGACAGCAATGCAGGCGCCGCAAATGGGCCCTTACACGGGCACTATGATCACGACTGAGCTCATCCAGAAGGTATGTGTGTACTTTGGGGCTAATCTTCGCGATTTTGTGCGAAATTTTGGTTCTAGTGAGTCTAAGCGCTGCTCCAAGATTTTCTTTTGTTCTTACATTTCTTTAAGGTTATTGATGAAGGCTTACTTTGTTCTCATTGTTTAGTACCTGGACGAGAACAAGCAACTTATCCTGGCGATTCTAGACAACCAGAACCTTGGAAAGCTTCATGAATGCGCAGCGTAAGCCTTTTTTTCTTCCAAAGCTTGATTGTTTTTTCTATGGATTGCCAATTCAGCTACCAGTCCAAGCTGCAACAAAATCTTATGTACTTGGCTGCCATCGCCGACGCGCAACCTCAAAACCCTCTTCCGGGTGGTCAGGTGTGTTTTTCACTTGCATTCTTTTCTTTTCTCAAGAGAAAAACGTCTCGCATTCTTTTCTTGTGTTTGTCTGAAAAGTCTTCTTTTGTTTCCGTAGAGCTTTTTCTTACTTGCATTGTTTTTCCTTCTATGCATCCCTTGTTATGTCATCTTTGCAGACTCCAGAAAAGGTTTTGCATTTAACTTTGGGATTGTTTTCTTGTGGTTGCCTGAAAAGTCTTCTTTTGTTCCCGTAGAACTTGCTGATATGATTTCTTCTCTGCACTCCCTCTCTCCAGGTTGCGCAAGCCTCCATGCTCCAAGGAACTCCTCAGTTCATGCAGCAGTCCCCGCAGCAAATGGGCATGATGGATCAGCAGCAGCAGCAGCAGCAAAACTACACACAAATCCAAATGGCTGCGCTCCATGCTCTCCAAGCGCAGCAGCGCCAGCAGCAGTTCCAGCAGCAGCAGAGGCTCGTCACCGCGGCGGCATCGGCAGGGATGCTCTTGCAGCCTCCACACTCGGAGTTAGAGCTGGGTGGCGGTGGAAATGTGAGCAACGGGAACAACATGACGGGCATGGGAGGAGCTTTTCCAGACTACGCTGCCGCTGCTGGCAACGGAGATCTCATGAGGAACTCCGCTGCAGCCGCCGTGAGCGGCGACGCCTCCAAAGGGACCAGCGCCGTCGCCGGATCGTCTGGAGCTACTGCTGCCGATGGTACCGGAGACGACGCTGGCTCTACGTTTCTCAAGTCATCAGAGGAAGAGTAAAAAACACCAGGGAGGATTGCAGTAGAATGAGCTACATTCCTTTCTTTAACTATGTTTATTTTCTTTGCTGTTAGTAGGATCATTTGTCACACTTCGGTCTCACACTTGTGCTAGATCTTTTCTCCCGGCGTTACACCCGTTATAATGCTTCCCACTCATTGCCGGTCTACATATAAGTAGAGAGAAATGAGGCCAGCCAAGCTCACAATCAAGCTCTCGTTTTTCAAAGTTTTTTCCATGGATTCCAAGCTGATGATCGTTCTACTTCTTGTAGCAGCCACAGCGGCAAACAGTCTCCAACTTCAAAGAAAGGTGGTCGAGAAAAACTCTTGCTTCCTCAAACTCTCTTGCTTGTCTCCGCAGATATCTTTCTTCGTTCGTCGCAACTGGGAGAACAATCCACCGCCATCTTCATCCCCTCTATCTTCCGTCCGTGTCATTGATAGCCCGATCCATGGCACTCGAAGCAACTCGTCCGAGTGTATAGGCCGGCTCCAAGGATACTCCATCACGGACGCTGCTGGATCGTCGACTCTCTTCTATCTGACGAGCTCCTTTAATGGAAGTACCATCAAAGGGAACCTCATCTACCAAGGCCGAGTCTCGAGCAGCGCCAGAACACCCGAAGTTTCGGTCACTGGCACCTCCGGAGTCTTTCGCTTTGCCAAGGGATACTCGCTCCTCTACATGGACAGCCAAGGGATGCCCGAGAGCGTCGAGAGCTACCTCTACAAGACACTGTAGGCGCTGCAAATCTCTTGAATAAAACTGCTATGTGAATTTCGTCGTCGTCATCTCCCTGGAACAAGGAAGAACAAAACCCAGGCGTTATACAAAGACCTTCGCGTGCTAGCTACCAAGGCCATAGGGGTGTGCGTGTGTTAGAGGAGCTTTAAGCTGCCGGTTACTTCGTCCACGAGTTCGTCGGGACCTGAGAGAACAAGATACAATCAAGTTATCTGCAAGTTTTGAGATGGATCAAAACATACCGAGCACGGTCAGGACTGTTCTCGAATCTGCGTGAAAATAGTAGCATCGTAAGCTGAAGTCGCCACTTGGAAAAAAAAAAACATTCAAAAGAAAAAACTCACTTGCGGCAATTTGCGTTCTGCCAGCATCGATGGTTATGTGGGTCGGCAACTTCAGACTCTTGGCTCTACTCTGTAAGGGAGAAAAAAAAAAAATTCTGTAAGCTTACTCGGAAGAACTTTTAGTACCTGAAGAAACAATAGCTCCTCTTCGCTCTCCGTCTTGGTGACGACTTTGACGCTTCCACACATCTCCCACCTTGCAAAGGAAAGAAAGCCAGTAAGAATCCAGTAAGAACAAACAAGACAGGTAAATGCATACCTTTGAAGAGCTTTCGGAGCTCTAAAGAACAGCTTTTTGTACAAACCGAGACTAGAATGGCTGCCAAAGAAATGGAAAGGAAAGTTAACTTAGATCAATCAAATAAATCTCTCACCTGCATTGAGCGGCAATCTTCCCTTTCCCCATCTTCAAATCATTCCTCACGACCAAGACCTGGAAAGAATCCACACTGATCTTCAGCGGCATTGCCCCCAATCCAAGCGAATCATCCCGCTCACCATCTTGAAATCCTCGTGCTTGTCCGCCAGAACCTCGACTGGATGTAGATCCTTCTTGCCATCGTACTGGTGAACCGCGGATCTCTTCTCCGCCTGCTTCTTCATCCTGGGAGGCAAGAGAGCCGGCCAGCGTCGGCACAGATAGTAGCCAGCGATCAGGCAGCCCGTCCCGACAAGGACAAGCTGCAAATACCCGTGGGAGCACGCCTCCACCGCGTCCTCCATCATCGCCTTGTTAGGGCGCCCGCCATAGCCATGTAGCCCTATAATACGTGGCAGCTATGACATAGGAAAGGAAAAACCCTCCATTTATGACATGAGTCAACTTGAAAAGCACCTAAAACGAGAGGTAAAGTGGAAAAAAACTCCAGAATCCCCTCCAATGTCATAACGGGTGTGAGCTAAAACCCCTCCATGTCATAAGGGATCCCTCCTAGCAAAAGAGAGAAAACTACTCCTCCATCTCGCCCTCCTCGCCATAGTCCTCGCCCTCTTCCTCGGCCTTGGCGTCCTGGTACTGCTGGTACTCGGACACCAGATCGTTCATGTTGTTCTCGGCCTCAGTGAACTCGAGCTCGTCCATCCCCTCGCCCGTGTACCAATGCAGGAACGCCTTGCGCCGGAACATCACCGTGAACTGGTCCCCGACCCTCTTGAACATCTCCTGGATCGACGTTGAGTTCCCGATGAAGGTGGCAGAGATCTTGAGCCCCTTGGGCGGGATGTCGCACACGCTCGACTTGACGTTGTTTGGGATCCACTCCACGAAGTAGGACGTGTTCTTGTTCTGGACGTTGAGGATCTGCTCGTCCACCTCCTTGGTGCTCATCCGGCCGCGGTACATGGCCGAGGCCGTGAGGTAGCGACCGTGCCGGGGGTCCGCTGCACACATCATGTTCTTGGCGTCCCACATCTGCTGCGTCAGCTCCGGCACGGTAAGCGCGCGGTACAGCTGCGAGCCGCGGGACGTGAGCGGCGCGAAGCCCACCATGAAGAAGTGGAGCCGTGGAAAGGGGACGAGGTTGACGGCGAGCTTGCGGAGGTCGGCGTTGAGCTGGCCCGGGAAGCGGAGGCAGCACGTAATGCCGCTCATGGTGGCCGAGATGAGGTGATTGAGATCACCGACTGTGAGATCATGGTCACGAGAAACAAAGCGTGAGAGAATTGTTGGTATGATACCCTTGGATGTTTCGAAGGACTCGTAACCTCCAATGTACGTACCATGATCGACAAGAAAAGAAAGAAACTTAACCAGCTTGGAGAAAGGTGACGGACAATGCCTCCAGTCATGACTTTGAAACATAGCAGAGACCGCCCAACTTGGACAAAGGTGACGGGCAATGGAAACCAAGCAGTCGAAGATGACTTACAGGTTGGCGTGGTGAGCTTGAGGGTTCTGAAGCAGATGTCGTAGAGGGCCTCGTTGTCGAGGACCATGCACTCGTCCGAGTTCTCCACCAGCTGATGAACCGACAGCGTCGCGTTGTAAGGCTCCACGACCGTGTCGGACACCTTGGGCGATGGGAAGACGGAGAATGTGAGCATCATCTTGTCCGGATACTCCTCCCGGATCTTGGAGATGAGCAGCGTCCCCATGCCGGATCCCGTGCCCCCTCCCAACGAGTGGCATATTTGAAATCCTGTGCGAAGATCGATCGATCAATGAAAACTTCCAAGAAACAAGACTTTGGGGGGATGATCTGTATGTTCTACGTACCTTGCAAGCAGTCGCAACTCTCGGCCTCCTTGCGGACAATGTCGAGCACCGAATCGATGAGCTCGGCTCCCTCGGTGTAGTGACCCTTTGCCCAGTTGTTCCCGGCGCCGGTCTGGCCAAACACGAAGTTGTCCGGGCGGAAGATCTGGCCGTAAGGCCCCGAGCGCACGCTGTCCATGGTGCCGGGCTCCAGGTCCATGAGAACCGCGCGGGGGACGTAGCGTCCGCCGGTGGCCTCGTTGTAGTAGACGTTGATCCGCTCGAGCTGGAGGTCCGAGTCGCCGCGGTAAGTTCCGGTGGGATCGATTCCGTGCTCGTCGCACGAAACCTCCCAAAACTTTGCTCCGATCTGGTTGCCGCACTGCCCGCCTTGGATGTGGCAAATCTCTCTCATGGCTGCTGCGCTGCCTGGTAGTCTGGAATCGATCGAGCGAGGGAGGAAGAGAGAAGATTCTCGTCGCCGTTGTCCTGGAGAGAAGAAAGAGCCCGAGTTTTTTTACGCGGCCGCGCGAACCATTCACACCATTTCCACGGAACAGACACAACCGGTGAGTCGTCCATGTCACCAAGAATATTCTCGCTTTACAATGAACTCGATCAAAAACTAGACAGATCTTGGATCGCTATGGTTTTTTTTTCTTCTCCTTGTTCTTCGTTTGCCCTTGCGAAGATCAAGTGTCAGCATTCATGAACAGTGATTCAAAGATTTGTGGTCTTCAGTAGAAAAGAAAAGGAAGGTTTCACACGTTTTTTAGGGAGCTACTTTGTGGAGCATGCCAAAATGGTGTGAAGGGCGCTCTCCTGGATCTGGGGAAGGAAGAAACAAGCTCGCCCAGATCAAACTCCAGCGCCCAACACATTCTCTCGCAAGTTTGCTAGGCCTAGAGCTAGATCATAGATTTTTGTTTCCAAGTTTCTTGGGATCCAGATGGGTCGAGGACTCCAGCGGAGCCGGTGGATGGGACTTTGCGTGGGAATGTGGATGCAAGCCTGCGGCGGGATCTCGTACGCCTTCTCGCTCTACTCGGCGGATTTGAAGCAAGTCATGGGCTACAACCAGGAGCTCATCGACGCGCTGGGCACCGCCAAGGATATCGGAGGGAATGTAGGCATTGTTTCTGGGCTCTTGATCGACAGGACCTCCGCGTCTTTCGTGCTCCTCGTCGGTGGCTTGATGCACTTGAGTTTCTACTCGATGGTATGGAGATTTTCTTTTGTGTTCTTACGTGTTTGTCTCACGTGTTTTTTTGTTTTTTTGTTTTTTTTGTTTTTTGTTTTCTCTCCTGGTTGGAACTTGGATCTTCCAATCCAGCTCTACCTTGCCTCTACAAAGCAGATCTTTCCTACACACTGGCAGGTATGATTCCAAGCGAAAGTTTGGATGAATCTTTAAAGGATTTGCTTGGAAGTTCTTCTTTTGTCTGTTAGATGTGTGGGATTATCATGCTCGGCACTAACGGAGCAACATGGTTTAACACGGCTGTTCTCGTCACCTGGTAATGCTTTCTTTCTTCTTATGATTGAACATAGGGAGTGTGTTTCGCTAAAAACTTGGTGGCAGCATGAGAAACTTTCCCTCGGACAGAGGCGTGGTTGTAGGCCTTCTCAAAGGATTTATTGGCCTCAGTGGTGCCATCTTCACTCAGGTTTGAAGAGCATTCTCGTTCTCAGTCTTAAGTTTTTGTTTCGTTCTTCGTTTTTGCTAAAACGCAGGTCTATACTGCGATTTATGCACCACACACTGGCCCGTTTCTTCTATTCTGTGCGACGTTCCCACCAATGGTAGCACTTGTTTCCATGCTTTATATTCGTCCTATCGATCCTCCAAGGAACAAGGACGAATCAGACGATCACAAGTTTACAATGCTGTACGTAAGTTTAGGCCAGTGGTAAGCTACCCTTTGTCTGGATCGATTCTTAGGCTTTCTTGTTTATCCCAGATCACCGGTCTCGTATTGGCATTCTACCTTATGTGCATCATCTTGCTCCAGGTAACCTTCGTTACTTTCGAGTTAATGGACCTCTGTTTCTCTTCTTCCAGGATTTCTTTGCCGTGAGGAAAGCAGCCAGCCAGTTTTTCATGTTTATCATGCTTCTCATTCTTTTGGTTCCTGGTGCCATCTCTGTAAGCATACAGTGCTCCCCGCTTTGCTGTTTTCTAAGTTTTCTAGCCTCTGCGTTCTTCCAGCTTCATCCTGCGGATGGAAGACAGAAGATCCATCCTGATACTGATAGTCTGTTCGTCAAGACACCGAAAATGCTGAAGAACTCGATAAGAAATCCGATAACTGTAGACGTTGGACACAGGATAGCGGAGCTCCGGAATGATGGAGCTGTAAATAATGGCGGCTTGCCCGGCTCTCCTTCAAAGTCCAAACTCCGCCTTGGTAGCGATTATACCCTGACTCAAGCTGTGAGGACGGAGGACTTCTGGTACGTAATTCTCTCCTTCGTTTATCTTCGTTTATCTTCTCTATTCACGTAGTGTTTTTGAGCTCGTTTCTTTCGTAGGCTTTTGTTCTTTGCAATGGGATGTGGCACTGGCAGTGGTCTCACTGCAATAAACAACTTAGCGCAGGTGTGTATGAGCTATCTTCACACCCACAAAGTTTTGCTCGCAGAACACTACTAAAGCTTCCTGATACTTTCAGATGGCCGAGTCTCTGAATTCCAAGAGCATAGGAGCATTTGTTGCGCTGGTTAGCGTGTGGAACTTCCTCGGCAGGCTAGGATCGGGGTAATGCTTTTAGATTCCTTTGTCTCCTCTGATTGTTCTCCCGCAGTTATATTTCCGAGTTCTTCATGAAACGGTCCGGAACTCCAAGGCCGGTTTTTCTTCTGATTGTTCAAGCGCTCATGGGATCTGCGCATTTGCTCTTTGCTTCCTCGGGTAAAAAGTTTCTTCTCGATTCTCATTGTGATTCTCACGGGTTATGAAAACGCAGTTCCTTCGTTGCTCTACGGAGCATCGATACTCGTCGGGCTTGCTCACGGAGCTCACTGGACTCTGATGGTGGCAACATCCTCAGAGCTCTTTGGCCTCAAGAACTTTGGGGCTCTCTACAACACACTCAGGTACAAAAAGCTTCCTTTCGTTTCCTCTTTGTAACAAAAACCAAGAGTTTCTCTCGCAGCATTTCTTCCACTATTGGATCCTACGTACTGTCTGTGAAGTTGGCTGGCTATTTGTATGACCAACAAGCTGCTGCTGCCAACGTGAGGAGGTGCAAGGGACCACAGTGCTTTAGGCTCACGTTTCTTATCATGGCCTTAGTCTGCTTGATCGGTTGCGTTGCTCTTGTCCGCCTTGTGTCCCGGACGAGGCTAGTCTACCGTGATATTCAGAGGCTCAAGGCAGCTAGCCGATGATCAGAGCTTGGCTGGAATTCAGAACTGCGGCATACATTCTTCCAAATGCAAGATGTCTAAAGCCTGGCGTATGAAAACATACCTGGGTTCTAATTCTTCCTAGGAGGACCGTGTACTGCGAAAGGCCATCGGGTCACTAATTTTTCCCAGTAAGACTCTTGTTTTTTACATGAAAAAATATGTACTGGAATGGAAACTATATTTTTGGGCATGGTACCAAGTAAGTTTTGGGAGAATAACCAGAGTGAACAAGCTGGTCAGGGTTTCTAATGAGGGTCTACTCAATTGATTTAGATGCTGTAGTTCAAGATATTGAGTTTTTGAACATTTTTGTGGATTTCGAATTGCTAGTAGAGTAGTAGATGTAGTTTAAAATTAATTGGAAGTTCTTAGTTCAAAAAAAATAAATGTTAAATTATATTTATAAGGTTTATATATATTACCATGCTTATAGTAATACCATTTATTTGGGACGAATCCATTTTTGAATATATATAAGTAGGGGTTTAAACTCCAATTAATATATTTATTCTTATATCTCAAGCATTTACTATTGCAAATTGTGCTTGCAAGATAAAGTTTTTGGCAATGTTTTGCTTAATATTTGGGATTGTGCTTTTTTTTCTTCTCTAGATATAGTTTTTTACAAGATTTAGGATTGTAATTATTATATATGTTTTTTTTGTCTACTATACGATGTTGTTAATTGAAGTGTGTATCATTAAAGGCTATGGTTGATGTCTCATAGTTGTCATTTAATTCTATTGTTATGTCTTTTTGAGATAAGAGTTTTTGGTATTGTGAGGCATGATTATGTTAGTATTGCTCTTTAGTGTTTTGCCATTTTGAACTTTTGTAGGATGTAACTATATAATTTTTTATATTTTCGGTGTCTTGCATCTCCTATTGAAGTGGAGTGTGATTGTGATATTAATTAGAGAGTTGTGGATAATGTAATTTGGTTTTTAGAGGATGTTCAAGGATCAAGTTTATGGAAAGATGATGCTTACAAGCTCGAATGAATTCTTGTTGACAAAGAATTTGATTACTTTAAAAAACACTTTAGAAACAAGTTAGAAAATTCAATCAATATTTTATTTTGCCATATAGTCCTTTGTCTTTACCTTTTGCTTTTTTCCTAACCATTTTATATTTTTTAATCTGATTTTTTTTATTAGGTTCCTAGCATATTAATAATTTTATGATTCTTGTTTCTAGTTTAACATTGAGTTGTATCCTTTTTAAAATGATTTGGATCTTGAGAGTGTATATGTAACTAAGAATAATATTTTTATTTTGTTGGTGAAATTTTTGATTATATTTTATATTGAGTATCCAAGAGTTCAATCACTTTTGCCAAAATTTTGGGTTATATATGTTTTCTCAATGTAAGAGTTATTGAGATTTTTTATTTTACAATTGCTATTATAGAGTTTTTCTATTCCCTTGAGAGTGTATTAATTTTCTCATCACAAATGTTGAGTTGTGTGTTAAGGAACTTAAATGATGTGAGCGTTTTATTTATCTTGTGGTGGCCAAAGTATTTTATAACAAAATATCCCTTATTATCCAACTTTTCTACTTAAACAAAATCTTTATAACACAAGATCTCTTGTTATTCAAACTTTAAGCATATTTCCTTCTTTTTATTTCCCCATTTCTACTTAGATAACTATTGAAAATTTCTTTTTTAATGCTTTTTTATTCCTATTTTTTTCTTCCATGATGTAATTTTTACTTTATCCTCTTTTCTTTGACACTTTAAACTTTTTTTTTCTTTGGAAGAGGGGGTAGAGGGGACGAACAACAATTTGCACTTGATAATAGAGTGAGAACAAGTGGATATAATAGCGAAATGGAGATCAATGACATGGATTATGGAGTGAAACTAAACATAGTGAGTCTAGATGAAATTTCTATGTAAACAATTAAATTTTCCATTTTATTTTGGTCCTTTAATCACACTTTTGACCACTTGAGAAGTCTCACTCACAACTTTCATAGGTTCTCATCTTAATATAAGATACTTGCTAAAATTACTAAAAGAGGTATCAAAGCCATATCAACTTTGCATTTAGTCTAAATGTTTTATGTGTCTATATCCCACTTCAAACACCCTAAAGGTACCATTAATGTACCAACCTATTACATTAAAACCACATGATGTCCATTCTTATTATCTCATTAGTAATCTAAAACCACCTATACCATATATCTATCTTTCTAAGATTGGACTATTAATTCCATGTTTATGACTACTTTTTAAGAACACAGCCACCTCCACTATCCCTTCTTTGATCCCCACAAGTACTTGCCATCATTGCTATTTGGTTAAGGCCTATATGCCCATCCACCAAGTCTTACTGACTTTTGGGACTTTTTCACTATGTAACCATATATTTAGTTACAAAACAAAAGGACCATTCCCTTTCTTTCCATAATCAAGGACTTCAAGACAATATTTCAAAATATTACAACTTAATACAAGTTTTGTACGTACTCCCACCACCTTTAACCACTAAATTGCTCTAGCCACATGACTAGAAAAGGTTTTAATGAGCCATACAAAGTATCCAAATAGGTAGTGTTACTTATACTTAAATTAGACTATAACTTTAGATTCCCCAATGTTCATATCATCACCCATTATAAGGGTATAATTTTTCTTGATCACACTAGTTCTTTTAAAACATTCCCTCTATTATGCTTATTAAACCCCCTAGGGTTTGGAAGACAATTCCCTACCTTTGGATATATTTAGCCCTAGATATGTCTGACCTTAGATATGTCTGACATTTTAGACACTTGGTTTCTCGGTGGCGTAAAATAATTCTAACATTGTTCCATTTTAAGTAACACTTTTATGAGTCACAACACTTACAACATGTTGGTCATTCTTTTGGATAAAAAGGACA